GCAGGGCCGCGCTTTCGCCGCGCGGCTGGTTTGGCTTTCGCGCTGGTTAGATTTTCGCGCACGCATTTGGTTACCAATATCGCCCTCCGGGCGCGATCTTCATAGTGCGCAGAGCCGGTCATCTCCAAGCTAGTATTCGTCGCAGGAGCCTGCTGAAGCTCAAGATGCCTCCTCAACTTCTCCAGCGACACTACGCGCCCATTGATGGGATAATTCTCCGCAAGACGTCCACTAGCCGCTCCGGCGTTCGCGATGTACTCATAGCAGACAGGCTTCACCAACAGCAGCACGTGGGCAAGACACTCTCGTCGTAGGTGAGACAGTTTCACGGCAAACGTATCAGATTCAGATGATCCTTCAGATACAGCTTTCGCCCCAAAAACTTGCAGCGCGTGGAAGAGAAACTTGTTCAGTATAGCATCAGAGGCTCTCGTGGTCGCAGCTGCTAAATCGGAATCATCCTCGACGCCCGGTCTGCTCGTGCCGCCGTCGAGTGTAGTTGGTAGCTCCTTTCGTTCGTACTGGTTCCGGAACCGCATTACTGTTTGAAAAAGCCACTTTTGCACACTGAAACCGGGTAGCTCGCTGTAGTCTGCGTGACTCGGAGGATGTTGTTCGCCAGTAGAATCCGCAGTTTCGGTTGCCACCCGCTGTGCGGCGTCTCGCAACATGTTTGTGGAGGTCTTTTTCTGTTGTCCTAGTTTCAAAAACTTCTCAACGGCAAGCTTCACCAACACTGTCACTGCAGTTTCGACGTCAAAAAACTGAGCTCGCATCTGGTGCAAGTTCATCTTCTTCGTCACCATTTTTCCGGACTGGAGCAGGCTAGTAGTACCTGAGAAGGGAACACCCGGTGCTCGTGGAGCTGGACTACTTCGCAACAAAACCGTGGTAACGAGCAACTTCTTCCTGTAAGCGGAAGGCGGCTGTTTTCGACGGCGGGAAACCGGAGACTTAAGAGATGGTGCGTCGCCGCTCCTGCTAGCCCGTCTTGCATAGAAAACCGTTTGAAACTGCAGCACTAATTCGCGTGGCGCTCCCGGGTAGAAATTTTCCTTCTATCCTGAGCAAAAACGTACCCACACCAGAGTCAGGATGGGGATTTTGGAACACAAACCTAGGAGTTTTGTGAGTCACGCATGACAAGTTGCGCTCTGCAGTGTAGTGCAGGTTAGCAAGTGCAGCCGCGTCACAGATTCATCTGCTCATCCTGTTCACAGCATCACAAATTCCAAAACCAAATTGGAAATGGCTCTCATGGGGATGCGCATTACAAGTCTTCCTGTCTTTGCAAATCTGCATTACAACTCTGGTGTGGGTACGTTTTTACTCAGGATACCTTTTCGTTTTTATTCACGAGGAAACAGAAGGTCGTGGTAGGAAGCAAGGTGCCGAGGCGTCGGTATTGGAAACTGGTGGAGAAATTCGCCGTTTGTGATGCTGCTGTTGCACGTGCAAGAACAAGGTCAACATTAGTAGCGGCATGTTGTAATTGATCCGTTCTTCCCGTAGTTGTGGTCCTCCACAGTCGCTCCAATTGCAACTGTTGCTCCTTGTTGCAGCCAAGAAGCTTCGACTCCGCTTCTTGTCCGTCGTTTGCGAAATTGAGCAGGCCTCCTTGGAGCAACTGCGCAGCGTGGAATGAGGACTCTTCGACCTCCTGCATTTGCTGTCCCAAGAGTTGTGGGTCGTCCGATGAATCACGACCACGGCTTCTACTGCTGATCATGCTCCTGCCGACACTTGATGTCACACCCCCATGATCATGACCTCCGATTGGTTCTTTCGTAAAAATTCTCCTTGTACACAGAACCTCCATCTTTGCGTCAAGGCCGATGCTGCTGTTGTCTTCACCGAACTCATCTTCGTCCGCTTCGTCATAAGCGGTGCGTGGCGTTCTTGTAACTCTTGCATCAGAACCTGCTGAAATCGTGGTACTTCCAGGTCGTCCATCGAGCAAAAGCATTTTCCTCACCGTCGCAACCCACGCGGTCAGGTCCTGCTGAAGGGAGAGGACGCCTCCAGTTGCGTCGACAAAGGGGCGGAGAGATTCGAGACCGAAAAAGTCTAAGTCGCTGCTGGCGGTTGTAGTTGCGCCGGAGCTGTCAGCTGCTGCATTGTCGAGGCCGTACACGTCGTACGTGATGTTGTCTTTGCTTTTTATCGGGCTGCTCTTTCTCGTCCTGGTGCCCTCCGCTGGTGACACAGAAATTCGTGGCTCCCTTCGCCGGCGACCCGCACCACCTGGCCCCACCGTACAGGGTCCCCGGGTGAGAAGGATGACGCGGCCACTGCTTGTCCCCGTGCTGGTTTTTGCAGCTTGACGACTACCACTACTTGCAGTTTCCGCTGCAGAACCGAGTAACAACAACTCCTCCGCAACCTGCAACGCCGTCCCGGTACAGCGCAAGGTCGTGACAGCACCTCCTGCACCGTCGCTTTTGTCCGGCTTGAGCGCGTGCTCGAGAAACCGGGTGAGAACGGGACGGGTCAGGGAAGAAGTTGCAGAACCAAAGCCCGCATCTTCATGCTCGGCAGCGGCGTCCTCGTCATTTTTTCCTCTGCATGACAAAAAGGGCTGCGCGTTGGCGGGCAGAACATTTTTGTCACTCAATTCAAGGTCCTTGTCTCCCCGGATGAGGTGGCAGGCAGGAAAAATTGGAGCAGTTGGTGTGGTGTTATGAACTGCAAAAGTAACGCATTAGTATAAAGAGCATCACAAATTCCCTCAGCATTAGAAATGGAATTTGTAATGCTGTTTTACCTTAAGAAAAGGATTCGTCATGCATAATTGCGATTTCTACGAGTACGATACTTTTGCACAGGATAGGTGTCAACAGCATGATCCGGTCGTGGTCGACTCCGGGTTCCTTTCTCCTCGTCCTCATACCCTCTCGCTGTTCCGTGCCGATCTGTGTCTGTCGTATTGTAAAAATGATTTTTCGCGGCTGTCGTGCCAACATCTCTCACTGCTTCGGCTTCCTCCTTGATGTGGCTGAAATTACTAGCCCCGCCGTATGTTCTCAGCATCTCCCAAACCTTGACCGCACTGCCGAACGTCACCAAAGCAAGTTCGTAGTGATGAGAAGCAGGAGCATCTTCATCTTCCGATATCCAAGAAAAAACTGCGTAAGCGTAACTCTGTAATGGAGAACATGCAACAGAGTTACACCTGTCATGCCAGACAGCCATAAAATCCTCTTTTCCTGTGTGTTTTCCCTTACAATCCACGCATGACAGGCTTTCTCTGTCATGTAGAGCAAATTTGTGCTGCTGTCAACCAAAGAAAGTTACACCAACACAGTTTCTTTCTGGGATATCCGAGTCATCATCTTCTTCTTCAGTATCAACGCCACCATCTACTTCCACCCGATTCAACACAGACTTACTGTGCACCAGATCGTGAAAGAACCGCCCGCATTTCTGTTGCAACTCTTTAAAGAATATCAAATGCAAAAATGTCTGGGTCTGGGAGATTGCAAGATTTGTCATGTTAGTCTGGCATGACTCTGAACTTTGTGTTGCATGGCCGCGAAGAGCTGCTCCTCCTCCCTGTCATGCAAAAACGCTGTTTGTCATGCGGAATACGCAACCCAGAACCATGAAAAAAACTTGTCATGCTTGGCAGCACATCATAGCGAGTTCACAATTTCCTTTCTTGCATCACAAGTTTCCAGACCCAGACATATCTGCAATGCATAAAGAAGGTTTTTTCCTCCAAATCCACGTGTAATTTCCTCGACTGGTTCTTCGCCACAGGGAACGCAGAAGTGTCGATGACGAAGACGATGCGGTGGACGTGTTGCATTTGGCCTTGTTGTTGTTCCTGAGGTCCTCGTGGTCGTGAAGATAATCTTCCCAAGAAAGGTTTGCTCTGCTGCCGGGCAACGACCTGCAACTCGTACTCGTTCGTTTCCGCAATGGCCGTAGCGGCGGCGAACTTCAAATTTGCATCGCTAGAAAGACTCCCGTACCGGACCAGAAGTTCGTTAATCGCGGGATCGTAGTCATACGGGTTGACCTGCCCGCAAAAAGGACACTGCCACGAGTTGTCTTGTTGAACACCCTGCATGTGACCGTTCATCCGCACGATCAACGGACTGAGGACCGCATTGCAGTTCCCGAAATTGGTGCAGGCAAAAGGTCTTTTCGTGAAGGAGGCGCCTGTGCTGGTTTCTGTTCCCCCCGGCCACAGCGGAGTGTAGAGACAAGCGAAGGGCAGCGGATCATTTTCCGGTGGGTAGCACGACCACGGGAAACGTACACGGCCGCCGTCCATCTTTGGTTTTCGGAGCCGGAAATCCGGCGTGGTCTGTAAGAAGTTGTAGACTCGCAATGATGAATAGCACTTCTTGCTCCTGCACTCTCAACTTTTAGTTTTATCTTCGTAACCAATCTTCACTCGGTTGTTCATCCTGACTTCTTATTTGCTGTCCGCGACAAAAGGAGCCTCTTCAACTTCGGCATTCTTTTGCGACAAAATTTTTGTGCTTCAAGAGGTAAGGTACATCGTGTTGCATCAGGGCATGCAGGAGCTACATCGCTCCAAAGGTACTAAGTAGGCTTAGCGTCTTCACTATTCTGGCTACACTTCCCCGGAAAAAGTGTCTGGTCAAAGCAGCTCGGCACTATCACGACCGGACAGCGCTTTTCTTCCCAAGTTTGCCTTTTTGAAAAAGTATTCTACTTGTTCTTGTTGCTGTGCAATGTTGACAAATTTTAGTCTACTGCAGCCAGATCTTCATGATCAACATGGCCACGCAAAAATCAATTGGAAAGAAACTTTGGATCGGCAGTTGTAGACTAGATGTAGATGCAGAAAGTGAAAGAGAAACGACGTGCAGAAAACACAATCAACCCGAGGACTCGTCATATCTTCAACCTTTCCACAACCAAAAACCTCCCATCCTCAAACCGGTTGTGCAACCTTTCCAAAATTTTTTCCGAGTCCTGCCGCGTATCGCACACCACGTAACCGAACCCGCAGTGACAGGTGTTGTTATCGTCGAATTGCAAAATCACCTTCAAATGTTTCTTCGTTGCCGGATTCGGGTTCCGCAAATTCATGAAAAACGCCTTGTTCGTCGGCGAAAACGAGCCAGCATTTATCGACACTAGCATCTGCTCTCGTTTCGGCGACCGCTCCCGAAAAGTTGAGGAAGACGCTTTCGATTGTTCCTGCAGATTATTCTGCGACGCAGAGGCGGAGTATTCTCCTCGTTGTTGTTGACTCGACGCAGACGCTGACGCTTTGTTCGCCGCTTTATTTTTCGCCTTTGCCTTCGCCTTGTTTTTCGCTTTCGCCGCTTTAGCCTTACCGGATTTTCCAGTTGATGCCGGCGTCGCGGTTGCAACAGCAGGATGATGATCTGCAGAAGAATTACTAGTACCAACTGCTGCTGCATTTCTTGCTACGGTAGAAAACGCAGTGGGTGGCGCTACGGCCGATGCGAGTTGAAAATTACTTCTTCTGGTAGTGGACGTCGATCCTGCTGCGCCAGGCGGTGGTAGCAGTAATGCCTCCAGGCATGCGTTCTCCAGCGTGATTGCGCTCCACGTGACCGGTATTCCGAAAACGAATAAGGAGCGAAACTGGGCGTTCAACCCCAGTTCGCTATTATTCCTCGGGTTGATCAACGTCGCTGGGCTCAGTTGGACCTTCTTCAAACTGGCGTGGTTTGGATCCTGCGCGGCGTGCGACAGCATGCCGAGGACCGGTGGCATATCCTGTGCAAAAGTATCGTACTCGTATGAATGCATTACAAATTTCCTCAGCATGAGAAATGAAATTTGTAATGCTGATTTGCCTTAAAAGCAAGATTTGTAATGCATGTTTGCGATTACTACGAGTACGATACTTTTGCACAGGATATGGCAAAGCCCAGGTCGACTCGCCATTGAAGCAGTCGTAGTATTTATCACAGGAAAATAAAACTGTTTCACTGTAAACTTGTGATGCATAAAATGGAGCACAGAAGTATTTGTCTTGCTACACATGCAAGAAACTGGATTTTTAGCTGTGTTTTCCCTATAGGAAGCTTGCATGGCAAATTTTCTCTGTCATGTAGATCAAACTTGTGATGTGAAACCTGCAAAATCCTTACAGTGAAACACTTTTTTCATACGATAGTAGTAACTGGTCCCGTCGGGAGCGATGTGCTCGCTCCACTGTGCGTTGTAGATGAGTGGCGTTTTGAAGTCGTTCTGGGGGTTCACCGGGAAGCAAAACGAATTTCCGAGCTTGAATTTCGCCGCAGCTTGCTGCACCGCGAACCGGGAAGAAAGCTTCACAAAGGCCTGGTTGATGGTGGTTTTTTTACAGAGGTTCTACTTTTGCAAATCCGATTACGATTTCTTTCAGTGTGCATAATTACCAGGGGAAAAGAGTCTCTCTCGAAGCAAAACTAAGCTAGCAGAACCCCAAAAAAAAAGTTTACGTATCCGGGCGCCTTCAGTTCCGAGTCCAGCAGAGGTTTTTTGTTGAAGCTATTCGTGGCCAGCGAAATGTGCTCGACCTGGGAACCAGAAATCGACGTCATCAGCGGTATATCCTGTGCAAAAGTATCGTACTCGTATTGGTATTGCAGTTATGCATTATAAATCTTTTCGTCAAGGTAAATCCACATCACAAGTTTTATTTCTCATGCTGAGAAAATTTGTAATGCATTTATACGAGTACGATACTTTTACTTTTGCAGTGCATACGGCACGATGTCCTGCGCCTGCCCGTTCTGTGGCCCCAGGTTGCAAATGTACAGCATGTTGCTGCCCTGGCGGCACCGGCTGAAGCTGTGAAGGGGGGGCTTTATCGCAAGAAAAAAGTGTTACAGTTACACATTGCGTTGCAGGCCAAGCAAGACAGACAAGCTCTGTCATGCCGGATATGCATAGGAGATTCGTTTTATAGGTGTTTTCCCGTAGGATTTCTGCATTACAAGTTCTCTCTCTCATGCAGAGAAATTTGTGTTGCTAAATTCACTACAAATGTGTAACTGTAACACTTTTTTCGTGGGATAGGCTTGTTTTGTAGATTATTCGCGTTGAAAAATGCGGGGGAGGAGAGAATGGAACCGGACTGTTGGTTAACATTCTGCGGTCCACCGTCCGGAACTGGAGCTTGCGCGTTGGGGTTCGGGAGACTCGGGGCGGTCGGGGGTGATTGGTCCATCGGAGGATGTTGGTGCGGACCGGGTCCGGACGGGGCCGCGGTAGACATCTTTATTTAGTGTCGTGGTTCTCGACTTCTAGGCTACTCAGTTACAGTTGCTGGTCGTGCGCAACAACGGCGTCTCTCGTCACTCTTCGTCTTGAACTTCGTGTTGAAGAAAAATTACATCTTTTTTCCGTCTTTTTGTTCGTGCTCTCATACACCAGCACCATCAGCACATACACAATATCCCGCTCCTTGATCTCGCTCACACAGCCTCTAGTATGCAAAATGCTACGCAGAGTTTTAGCAGCCACAACGCCCCTCACAGAAACCAAAGTCAAAAACAAAACGAAGCAATGACGCTGGAGAAAGAACGACACAACAAACCTCCGCCATCGCCCAGGTATGATGTTGCACGGGTTCTCCTGTGCATCATTCAATTTTTTCGTTGTGAATCGTCGCCAGAAATATTATTTTGTTCTCAAGAAAACCATAGCACTTTCATCTATCATACACGTAGTTCTTCAGCATCTGCCCAGTATCAGCGTTTTCCGCTGACTCAACCAGGAAAAATGCCAGGTTTGTCATGCTCTGCTAGCATGACAGTCAAGTCTGTCATGCAGGGTTGTACCCAAAAGCGCCACTTTTGTGTCATGCAAAAACCCAGTTTCTCATGCAGAATAGGCAACACCTAGCGATTCCAAAACCTGTCATGCTGAGCCGTCATTTCTGGCGTTCTCTTGATTCGCCAACCAGCATCACAAGTTTCCAGACCCAGACATTTTTACATTTGATAACGTCATCAGCGGCACAATGTCCTGCGCCTGCCCGTTCTGCGGCCCGAGGTTGCAAATGTACAGCATGTTGCTGCCCTGGCGGCACTATCAAATGTAAAAATGTCTGGGTCTGGAAGGATGCATGTTTGTCATGCTTGTCTGGCATGACTCTTAAATCTGTCATGCACGTTGCCCAAGAGCAGCATTTTTCTGTCATGCGGAGACGCAATTTGTCATGCAGAATAGGCAACACCTACAAGCTCAGAAATTTGTCATGCTGAGCCAGCACTTGAGGCCTCCTCATGCTACGCCACTCAGCATCACAAGGTTCCAGACCCAGACATTTTTACAGTTGATAGGCACCGGCTGAAACTGTGGAGGGGGGGCTTGTTTTGTAGATTATTGGCGTTGAACAGCGCGGGGGAATAGAGAATGGAGCCGGACTGTTGGTTCACATTTTCCGGTCCTGGACCTCGCGCTTCGTGCGCGTTGGGGTTCGGGAGACTCGGGGCGGTTGGGGGTGATTGGTCCATGGGGGGAGGTTGGTGCGGACCAGGAGGTCCGGGCGGAGCGGTAGACATCTTGATTTAGTGTCGTGGCTAGTTGGTCGAGTTCTTCGTTCTCGACTTAGTCGAGAAAAGGCTACTCAGTTACAGTTGCTGCTCATGTGCAACGGGGCCTCTCGTCGCTGGTCGGGGAAAAAAGATTGCATCTACTTTCCGTCTTTTTGTTCGTGCTCTCATACACCAGCTGCACCATCAGCACATACACGACAATATGCCGCTCCTTGATCTCGCTCACACAACCTCTAGCGTGCAAAACACTACGCAGACTTTTAGCAGCCACAACGCCTCTGCTCGCAGAAACCAAAACCGAAAAGAAAACGAGACAGTAACGCTGGAGAGAGAACGACGCAACGAACCTCCGCCATCACCTAGGTATGTCGCACGGGTTCTACTGTGAATCATTCACAACTTTTTTCGTTTTGAATCGTAAAACTTGAACTTCTCGAGAAAACCATGGCAGCTCTAGTATCATCTATCATACACGTAGTTCTTCAGCATCTGGCCAGTATCAGCGTTTTCCGCTGTCTCAACCAGTCCAAAAAACCAAAGGATTCTCAAAGCTCTGTCTTGCTCTATTTCGCCTTCCAGTTGTAAATGCGGGTTATCATCATCTTCACTATGTGAAATTATATCACCAAGCTTCCGCTCTTCATGTAGTAATCCTGGCTCTCCTACGGCCGCCTCTGGGCTGATGGAGCCTCTTCCCGAAGGTTGAACAAGATTCTCCACAAGATAGCACTCCATCGCGTTCACCAGATGTTTTTCCAAAACCTTCGTCCACTCTGACAGAAACATCACGTTCAGATCTTTCACCGGTCTCCTCCTTTTCGCATTTTGCCGGAATTCCTCACCGTAGTTTAAATCCTCGAAAAGCTGCAGGAAGTCTGCGTCGGAGCGATGGAGTTTTAGGATTTTGGTTCTCGCTTTCCGGGAAGTTACAGTCGTACTACAAGCCTTGGAAAAGTTTGTTTGACCACCGGGTGTCGAGCCAACTTCGGAACAAGACGCGAGGAGTGCCGTGGCACCAGGGGCTTTGTTCTGCCGTGTCTGTATTTCCTGTTGTTTCTTGTTCAACAAATGGACCTGATTCGTACTGACCACGGGGGAGGCGGGGAACGACTGTGTAGTACCAGGTTGGTACATCGGCATGACAGCTTGTTCAGCTGCACGACGCGCCGACGAGTTTTGATGATGTACCACTTCGGACGGTGGGAAAACGAGCGGCTGAAGGTGCAGCTGGTCCACCTCTGAGTGTTGATCCAAGAAGAGCGGCTGCTCCTGCTCCTCATGCGTTGCATTAGCACGGTCCAACATTAGTAGATCCGAAGCTTGGTCGCTTGATGGTGCTTGGAGGTCTGTAGCGCTACGACTAACGAGTTGATTTCGGGGCGCATACCCACCTTGCTCCTGTTGCTGCATATTGTACACGTCCAGTATCTGCTCGCCACACGCCGCGCCTTCCTCCACCGGCGACACCTTCGAAATGTAAGCGGCCCGGGACGACAAAACTCCGAACCCACTTGCTGCTCCGCCTGTCGAGGAATTTTTACTAGATGAGGTCGTCGACTGGCTGCTGGCTGGTCGGTGGTTTTTGACTGTATTAACTGACCGTGTGGATTGGCTGCTCGCGGGTCGTGCGGCAGCCCAGAACTGGTGTGGGTGATTTAGATTCATCTCCTTGGTCTGGTGATTTACGTCCACGACCGGGTAGTTTTTGTCCACAGAAATAACTGTATTGCCACCCTTCGTTCCATTCAGCAGTCTGCTCGACGGCGCACGAGTTTCACCGTACCAAAAAATCATCTCCTCGTCAGGAACCTCCACTCGAACTTCAAACTCTGGCCAATGCGAGTGCCTGGTGTTTCGCACACTGTAGTTACCAGTGAGAGTCAGCTTGCGACCCGAAGTTGAGCTGGTAGTTGAGCCAATGCGGCCAGTAGAAACTTCTGCCGCGACCACCTCCGTCTGAGCACCGTTCGTGTGAGCAAGAATCTCGCTTCCCGTAAAATTTCCCGCTGGATCAGACGGTACTACTTCCTTGGGCAGAAACTCTCTCAGTAGCTCGGCAACGAGGGCGTCAGTAAGAGTATTGCAGCTCCTTCTCGAGTGCCGGCGCTCTTCGTCCAATACAGCATTCAGCCATGGGTCACGCTCCTTCAATCGTGCACTGGTGTCTGTCGTTCTGGTGGCAAGCCGAACGTGAGAAGCCCCTGTAGTACTTCTCTTATTGGCAATGTTCGTGCTTGTAGTTCGCGTCGTGTAGGCTTTTTGATGCAGCGCAAACCCGTCCGCGCTCCGACTTCTCTTGGCGGCTGCTTCGTTTTTCCCGTTGGAAAAAAACGAACCTCGTCCTGTGCTGCGACCTCGTAGCTCATCTTCTGGGCGGAGGTCGGCCGGATTACGATGTTGCCGGCCTCCATGGGAAGTGGCCGACGAGGGAAGGAACCAACTGGATAACATCTTCGACAATCACAATACCGCGCTTGTGTGCGTTTTTACCTATGTCTAGAAGTCCGTCATAGCAAGACAAAGGGTGCTGGCGGCCAATCGACTTTTGCAACAGCTGCTTTGTACAACTACACGAGCTATGTTTCTTATACAAAACTTCTATTTGTATTTGTTCGCCTCGTTACGAACTACGTGTTGGACGGGGGAGAAAGGTTCGGGACATGGAGAACTGAGACCTCAATCTGAGCCTGGAGGAGGGTACCGTCGCAATATATAACGCGATTGATAAAGCAAAAACCTTCCTTCGCTCGTACGACAGGTTGCTGTTTTTTTACCGCTCAAATGCCGCGGGGCATCAAGCAGGAATGTCTATAAACTGCTCTCTCTCTCTCTCCTTCCCTCCTCATGTCTGGGTCTGAAGAGTCGACGAAGATCTAGATCAAACATAGAACAACACTCAAGTCTACTGCTGCTCACCAGGAACAAGAGCTACATGCTTCGTGCTCTAGTAGCCGGTCCGTCATGTTGGCCTTTCTTGTGAGTGGTCTCTATCAAGAGCAGTGTCCTTATGCTTGTATGCTAATTGCCCAGCTTGTATGCAGTCATTTTTCATTTTCGCATCTCCACGTGCGTGCAACAAGCGGCTACTCCGGCCAGGACAACGAGCATAGATACGGTCCGAGCTTATTGCTCCAGCTCCTATGCAGCTTTCATCTTCTTATTTACAACGACAATGCTTTCTTATCTTGATCTTCAAAAATTCTCGAAGAAGATTATATATGAAGTTGAACTTGAAGGGGCTTATTTTATCCTACAAAAATCCTTCGTATCAGATGTCTAGTAATGCTACTTCATGTAGTAGTGGTTCTTTCCACAATAGACAGTCGATGGAGCTACCTACAACAAAATTTGTTCAATCAAAGGAGGTTAACTGAAACGTACAATTTTCCATTCGGTGATACCATCAAGACAGTGGCCTCCTATCAGAAAAATTCTTCTGCTGAAGGTCGGGTCCACTACAGTTAACGTCTCATTATTTCTCTTTCTTTATCAACAAAAATGCCACTTATAATGTGGAGCGATTGCGATATTTATATCAAACCACATCTTCGTGCTGTTGTCAACATGCCGTACGCCACCAGACGAGGACAAAACTTCGCCTAGTGCAAAAGGGTTCGTACGGCGCATGTTTTTTTCTTCTATCGGCTAGCTTGAGCCAAACACGAATCCCTGCACCTGCTTACGCCCTCCTCCCAAGAACGGTCCCCACCACAGACCCGATGGTGCCAATCACACCTCCCAGAAACCCGAGGAAACCGTCTCCGCCGGACGACTGTTCGTGAATCACCTGCGGCTCCCGGTTCGCCAGTTCCGTCATCTGTTGCGTCATGCGCTGCTGCTGTTCCTGGTGAATCCTTTGCATTTCCTGCTGCTCTTCCTGCGCCCGGCGCTGCATTTCCACCAGCTGTGCTTGCGTCTGCTCCGCAATTTGCCGTTGCTCCTGCTCGAACCGAATCTGTTGCTCCTGCATCTCTCTCTCTTTCGCCCTCAACTCCTGCTCCGTCAGATCCTGCTGCAGCAACACGAACCGATTCTTCGCCTGCAGTTCCACCTGTTTTGCGTGGACCTCATTTTTCCGCAGGATTTCTTTCGCGGTCATGGCGATCGCGGCTTGAAGTTCCTGAACCGATTGCTGGATCACATCAACACCGTGGTGTGAATGACTTCCGGATGAAGGAGTGGAAGGAGATGCGGAAGTAGAACTTCCATTCATTTCCACTTCCGCCAGCTCCTGAACCTTCGCTTTCCGCAATTCCAACTCCAGATTCATGGGCAGCAGCTGCCCGACATCCAGCTGAAACTGTTGGCTCCCCGTTTCGGTAACCCGGACCGTCGGGCCGATTAAGACTCCCTGCTCGTTGTAATGGTCCTTTTGCGGGTCGGTCAGCGAGATCTGAATGTTCCGCGTGGCGTCCACTTGCTGCTGCCGTGGGGACGACGAGGAACTAGTTCCGGAACTACTATCGCTTCCAGGAGAAACATATGAACTGCAAAACAAAGTATCGTACTCGTATAAATGCATTACAAATTCCTGCAGCATGACAAATAAAATTTGTAATGCGGATTTACCTTGAGAAAAAAATTTGTAATGCATGATTGCAATACGAGTACGATACTTATTTTGCACAGGATAAAACAAACAGGTACTGTTCTGCTTTCTCCCTCACCTCCTCAATGTACCGTTCAGTCGTGGCTAACCGGTACTGTAGGAGTCGTGCGGTGTTTTCCCGTTCCGCGATTAGTTGAAATTGCTGCTCGCAGAACTCCTTCGCATTTTGGAACGCGGAATCGAATAATTCCTTACTCGCCACTAATTTCACTTCATTCGTGAAAATCCGCCCGAGCAACACTTCCGGAAGCACGAAATTCGCGAAAAGCTCCTGCCGCAGGAAACTCGGGGGGTAAAACCCGAATTTTTCGACATGTTGCAATCCCTCAGTCCCACCGAGCATATCGGACCAGAGAACGACTGGATTCTCATCGTTTTTGCTGTCCTCGGATGCAGCTGTAGTTCCTGGAATGAAAGGGGTTTTCAGCCGGTCCTGTAAGCCCTTGATTTGTTCCGGCGACAGAGAATTGTTCTCTTTGTCCTGCAACTGCAGCATCAGTTCGAGCGATTTCATCCATTCCAGCATGCGAAGCTCGACGACCGCCCGGGCTTTCTGCTGCTCCATGCGCTGGATCGCGAGGACGCCCTGCTCCAAATCAGGATAGGCATCCTCATCGTTCGCGTTCTCAATGAGGGACTGGAGATATTGCACCAACTGGTCTCCGTTCTGTACCACTTGAAACTGCTGTGGTGCAGCAGCAGCGGAATGACCACGACCACGCTTCTGCTTTTTCGGAAGAAAACTAGATCCACTGGCCGCTTTGCTGGTACCACCAGAAGATGCGCCACCAGCACCACCAGCTGCAACCGGTAGCATCAGAGGCTTGATGTTCTGCAAGATGTGGGTGCGCAGGCGGTCTAAAACCTGGAGGAAACCTTTGTCCATAGCGGAGGGGCCGAATTTATCGAAGGTATCGACCAGATCGGCGGACAACTTGCGCAGACTAATGGAGGAAGATTTTTTTGTCGCCCCGCCCGGCCCGGCTCTGTACTTCGCAAATTTCGTCCCCGTCTGCATCTCCATCTGCTGAATGTTAAAGTTCGGATTCAGGGGCTCCGGGAACAGAAACAAATTCTCGTCCGGCATAAACACGACTTCCATGTCCACAAACTCGTCCAAATTCGCAGCCCGCAAATGCTTCTGCCGCGTTTCCGCCCGCGCATCGGGAATGAAGTGCTGCTTTTTGGGTCGGCGCTGTGCTGGGGCGAATTGCGTCTTTCCACCTCGAGAAGTAGAAGCACTACCAGCGCCATGCTTCGGCGGGGGACAGGAAGCCCTTTTAGAGGAAGTGCCTGCAGCAGTTCCTGCCCGCGACTTCGGGTGACGTTCTTGACCACCCGAACTTCTTCGGGAGGACGCGCGGCTTCGGGCGGAGACATCGGTTTCCTCAGCGTCAGTTCCGATGTTCACCCACGTGGCTTCCCCCCGGTCGTAGATCGACGTCGAACCGCAGTGTTCGTCTTCCTGATAATCTTCTTCTTGGTCTTGTTGGCCATCTACCTCCTGGGTGTCAGATTGCTCTGGGTCGTCGTCTATCAAATGCAAAAATGTGGTCTGAGTCTGGAAGAATACAAGTTTGTCATGCTTGTCTGGCATGATTGACTGGAGAATCTGCGTTGCCTAGGCACGAAAAGGCCCTCTTCCCTGTCATGCAGAAACGCAGTTTGCCATGCGGAATACGTAAGACATGGCACTGGCAGCCCAAAAATTTGTCATGCATAGCTGCGTATCGCAGTGCGTCTATCATTCACTTTGAGCATTACAAGTTTCCAGGCCCAGGAGACATATTTGCAATTCATATCGTCGACGTCCTGATCTTCATCTCCGGAAACGAAAGACGAGGACATTTCCTCATCGGAACTGCACTGCTCCTCGTCCACCACGTCTTTTAAAACGATGAAAAGTTCCTTCTTCACGGAACAAGTAGAAGAAGATCCACCTCGACTTCCACCCGACCCGCCAATCTGGTCATTGCTCTCCAAAACCCGCTCCGCGACCCGCAGGCCAATCTGCAGCATGTCCAACGTCGGGCGGTCGTTGATCCTCCCCGTCGGGCGAAACATGACGATGGACGACAAACCATAGGTAATCGTGAACAGCCTTTGCTCAAACACCTGCGGGCGCAACGGATTTGCCGCCCCTTCGGAGTCGAGGAGAATGAACGTTCCCTGTGGTGTTTTCCCGTCTGCTCCGCCGTAAAACGGGAAGGTCGCGAAGTGGATTCCTAACGTGTGTGTGTCGATTCCTGACTTGACTGAGAATTTGAATCCTGACGAGGATGGGCCAGTAGATGTTCCTGACAAGCCTGTGCCAGCTGTTCCACTAGCTGCTCCTCCCGCCGCGCTCAGCATCCTGGCTAAAAAGGTCAACAACGTGCTCTTGCCCGCGCGCATCACCCCGTGGACCGCGGCGATGTAGTAGGGGCCCGGGAGTTTGCGCAGGGTTTGCTTCGCTTGCTCCGGGAGGAGGAAATCACCATCCGGCGGCGTGACGAGCAGCTGCTTCGGGGTGTTGATGATGTTCACGGCAGTACTAGACGACGAGGCGGAAGCTCCGGCGGCAGCGACAAACAAGCCTGGGTTGATGTTCTGTCCATGGAAGTTGTTCGTGTTGCCGAAAAATCCTTCGAGCAACGAAGACGGACCTCCGTGAAAGACCGCCGTCAAGGCGGCAGAGAGAAAGACTCTCGCTCGGTAGCGAAGCAAAGCCATCTTGTTCTGATTGATGATGATGTGTAGTCGTAGTGAGCTTCTTGATACTAACGGCAGGCAAGTTGCGATCGTAACGTAGGTGCTTGGTCAGTTACCAAGAGTTGGCGGGAAAGTAATGTGCGTACACTCGTGGTGCGCTGCCCTGAAACTGAAATAAATTCTACGAGGAGCCTCAATTGCCGTACACTTGTTGTATCATGATCATTTCTGCTTTTCCCGATGTGGTCAGCAGCAGGTGGATCTTCGCAACTACTTGGAAGCTGATTACGCTAGATGCAGGCAGATCTCCAGAGACCGCAAAATGGCGGACAGGAGAAGATACTCGAATGATGAGATCGCTGTCTTTCACTCCTGCGTACTAATTAGTTGCAAGATGAACTTCATCTGTGTAGTACTCGGTGCTGACTAGAACTAGATCCTCGTGGTCATGCGGCTTTCGCTTTCTCAACATAACTCTGCTCTAGACCGTTGTACAAGTAATTACTATCCGCTGCACAATGTGATCGCACAATCCCATGTGGTGTGAATGAAGATCGAAGATGAAGATGCGTCGGAGGCATGATCAAAATCGTACAACGCACCTTTTGTGATAACTTTATCTAAAAATAACTTCACACTGTGCTTACTGCAAGGAGACAAAGATCTTTTCATGCTCCTCGTTTGCAGAAGTCCTCTTGCGTTCTTTCTTGTGCTTGTCATTTTTGACTAGTACTTCAAAAATCTAGCTCCAGCTCGTGCTTCACATCTGTCAGTTTCATCCATGTCCCTTCAGCAAGCGCTAATCCTCTCATCGGCGTAGATCTGCTGCCTGTTGTTGATGAGGCGGCACTTCTACCTTGATGCAAACTCAAATTTCCGATCCTCACCCTTCTTGCCTCGACAGTTTGCAATCCAGCCTTCGCCAGCAAAACTGCAAGCGGGCAGGACCGCTGACTCGTTTGCGTTTCCTGCATGGTCAGTAAGATTTTCATGGTTTGAAGTCTTGCTGGAGTGGTCCCGTTACTAGCTTCAGCATCGGATTCTGAAGATAGTTCATCCTCATCTTCAGAAAGCATTTCCACACTAGTGTCTTCGTGATGGTGCCCAGCGCCACTGTCAATTCGTTGCAGGTTGCTGAAAACAACCGTGCGTGCCGCGGCAGCTGCACTTCCACCAGCTTTGTTTTGCGACGCAAGGACTAGGTGCTGGAGAAGATCGAAACTACGGGTCAGGAGGTCCGGTGCGAATTTGTGTGAGGAGGGTTTGCCTTCGTGATTTCTTGCGCAGCTCTTGTTTACCTTGTTCTTCCCAATCCTCGCTCCAGGCAAAGGCTCGCATTCGATTTCGTACTCTTTTTCAATACCGAGCAAGAAAGATGTTGCCGCTGAGATATTCTGCTGCTCCTGCTGCGGCGAAGGCGAGGAACCCTGGCGTTCGTCCCCCCAGTTTGCCATTATACTGCTTTTGACAGTATCCCCATTGCTTGCGGAGTTTTCCTGAGAACAGGAGGCATCAACCGTGTCCGTGGATGAGGTCCCACTCTGTTTCTCTGCTTCGCCTGAGCCAAAGAAGAACAAATCATCGAAGGATGAACAATCCCCTTCAGCCTCTGCGTCCGAAGTTGCCTTCTGTATCATCTTCTCGTCGTCTTCATCTACAGGTTCGGCGGTGTTGAGGCCGGCCTTCCTGGATGCGCTTGCGACGCCTGTACAACTCTGCTGCTCCTCCTCATCAATGGTGGGACGCGACGCTTCAGGCGGTTGTGTTATTTCGGCACCGCGACCTGCTCCTACTCGTACTCCTGTAGAAGGAGACGACGCTGCTCCTGCACGATGGCTTGATGAAGATGATGTGTAAGCTGATGTTGATGGTGTGGATGTACTAGCAGTTGTACCCAGCACGTGCGACACTATCCTTCCGTCCTGCGTAAACAGCATCAGCCCCGAGTAGTGCGGGGGTAAATCGTCTATCGCGACCAACTATGCATTGCAAAAGTATCGTACTAGTATGAATGGCATTACAAATTTGCTCAGCATGAAAACTGGAACTTGTCATGCTGTTTTGCCTTAAAAGCAAGATTTGTCATGCCTAATTGCGATTAGTACGAGTACGATACTTTTGCACTGGATACCAACTTCTGCGGCAGCTTGTTCGCGTACACGACACTATCCACAGTAAATTTCCTGTACATGTACAAATGCAGTCTCTGCATGACAAAACTTGCCTTCAATCCTAGTGTAGCATGACAAGTTGGACACTGCAAGTTAGCGAAATTTGTCATGCATTTTGTACATGTACAGGAAATTTACATTGCATAGACACCGGAGCTAGACGATGCTGATGCTCTAGTTGCAGCGAAAGCAGATTGTGCAGCTGCACCGCGACTTGATGTACGATAGGAAGCTGCCATGCAATTAGCCGGTGTTAAGAGACTCCTGGCTGAGGGATGGGACAGCGCAGGCGTAGTAGCGTTATCCCTTGATTTATTCCGTGAAGATGCCCTCTTCAGCTCCGATGAGCCTTGCTTCAAGGCACTCGAGGCGTCACTTGTACTAATTTTATTCCCTATGCACGCGTAGTGCTTTGGCTTATTCAGCAACACCGTGACTTTGTTTTCCTGGATGCATCTCCCCCGGTATCCACAGGAAAAAACCCATCCACATCCATTTCTTGCATGACAAACACGTCATTTGATACGCGTTTTGCATGACAAATTGGATGTGGATGGATCTTTTTCTGTGGATACCCGGTCCGTCAACTCGACGACGGTTTTTGTCGGATCAAAAAGCAATTGTTGCTGAAAAATCTCCTCTTTGTGAAGAATTTTTCCGTATGGATTGCAAAAATGTCTGGGTCTGGAAACTTGTAATGCTGCGTTGGGAATAATGAATACTCGGTAACTAATGCACAGCCAGGCATGAAAAATATCTGCGCTTCTTTGTGTTGCGTTTTTACCATGACAAACTGCGTTTTTGCATGACAGGCAAAAGGGTCTCTTCTTGGACACGCATCACAAACTTAAACTTTTTGGTCATGCCAGACAAGCATGACAAATCTCACAATCTTCCAGACCCAGACACTTTTGCATTTGATACTCCGTTCACTTTCACCATCCCCTTCCGCAAAAACTCGTTTGCCTCCTGCCGCGCACACAGTTTGCGCTCCGCCATCAGGGACGTCAGGCGGATCAAATTTGCGGTCTTCGTCTTGCTCGGTGCTGGAGCTGGAGCTCCAGCTCCTCCTGCACCACCACCAGCGGCATTTGCTTGCAACTTTGACGTGGCGGTGAACGATGAAGAAGTCGATATGATCATCTTCAGGTGACCATCATCACGGTGCGTTCTTTTAGGTACAACTTCATTTTTCGTGGTTCCTCCGTGCTGCGCCAGCGTCCGTAGGGAACGTGTAGACGCGACTCCGATGCAGCTGTAGTTGTACGATGTATCAACGCCGCTGCTGTAATGCGTTCTCCTTGAAGATCTCCGCGCCAAGCGAGCCAGCTGCAGCTTCGACGTCGTTTTTGATGCCAATGCCATGCTGGTATGGATGCCGCCCGCCGAGACTGTAGAAGCTGCACGGACACAGTATCTATGTAACTCTAACGATATCTTCTTCGAATTCTCGCGTCGTAAAAGAAAAAGTGGTCGTGTAACTAGAAAATATCCTAAAACTACAGCATGTTCATGTACTTAGGTAGGATCGCGATTGACCGAGTGCTGGTTGCTTCAGGTATTAAATTTTTGCTGTCGCAAAAAAACAATATCCAGATCGCTTAGAGGGCGGCCCGCCTCCTTTCGCAAACATAAGATCCTAGCCAGAAGATCGCCTGTAATGTGCCGAATCTTGGTCGTCACGACCGACGCACACACTGAGACATGTAGAAGTTCAATGACAATGACCAACATAGCCACCACCTGGCATGGGAGGTACTTCTCGTACTTCGGTTCTAGATCTTCACCCTGATTGTAGGTCTAGCATTACGACAAAACGCGCTCGCGCGGAACCGATAAAACCGAACAAACAATGACTGCCCGGTGATTTATGTCGAGGAAAACGCATCATCTGCCGCGCCCCAACTGTAACGGCAGCCACCAGAAAGGTCGTCGGGACCGTCGTTCGCCTTCGCGTTCCTATATGTTGCACCAATGCAAAATAAAGTTGCGAAAGTCGTATGTGGTGTTGCTAATGTTATGCGAAACAGTGAGATAATTCAATGGCATTTCGAACTAAATTACAGGATTGGGATTCTTGTTTTGTAAACAAACATAAAAAAAAGGGTACGTATAAGTGTTCTGTCGCTCTAGGCGCTGCAAGCTATCTTAGCGCGATTTCAGCGCTTCGTCTTCAATCGTCGGAGTTGTTACAGAAGATGCTCAAACTCAAATTGAATGCGAAAAACCAAAACTCACGCCTCTGTGCCGATACCGGATTCTTCCTCCACCTGTTGTAAAAGATCATCCCTACTATCGACTTGTTGTTTCTTTGTAGAAGAAGCGCTGTCTAAAAATTCTTGCCCTTCTCCTGTTTCTTGGTGAAGAATATGATCCCTTGAAGATTTTTCATCTGACGATCGGCGGCCGCTGGTCCTGCTCGTCCCTTTCATCTTTGACGGAACTGGCGGTGGCGGTACGAAAACCTCACCGCTGCTGGAAGTTTTGTTGCTGTTTTTTCCCTCTATGATCACGACCCGTGTCTCGCTTCCGCTTGCTCGGCTTAGTTGTCTCATGCTTCGGGGCTTGTTATTTGCTGAAGAAAATGACATGTCTCCTTCGGGTCGAGGCGGAAGCGGGAGAATCTGAATCGGTACGGACGAAATTGCGCCGGCATTGAGGTCATCACTTTCTTCTACTTCCGCAGGATTTTTGCTCATACGAGTTGTATCCACAACTCCACTGGCAGCAGCGCCGTGTTGTTCTTCGTCCTCCAAGGGCTTCGCGATAAACGAGGGCTCGACGGACATTGTTGTAGCAGGAGAGTTCACCGACGTGGTGCCCATTTTGCTAGCACCTCCGCCGATCATACTGTAGTTTTTAGCCCCGGTAGTTCTTGTACCTCCAGTAGAGTTGCTGGCCGCTGTAGAGGCCGCACCTGCCGCTGCCAGGGCCGCTATGGATTGCAAAAGTGTCTGGGTCTGGAAGAGTGGAACTTGTCATGCTAAATCCGAATCATGCAAAAATCTGTGTTGCATGATTACCAAAAGAGGCCCACTTGAGAACAAGTTTAGAGGCAGTTTCTCATGCAGAATAGGCATGAAAGAGACCTCACAGACTCTGTCATTCGAGGCCCCGCATTCCAGACCTCAAGGGTCATGGAAAAGCTGCATGACAAGTTCACACTCTTCCAGACCCAGACACTTTTGCATTTGATAGCCGCAGAAGTTGTACTACTGCTGGCCTTACTCACGTCGTAGGACCCGGTAGCGTGTGTGTGTTTAGCAGGTGAAGCTGTTGAAGCACTGCTTCTGCTAGATATTTCGGACCTGCTCACTTCGTAGGATCCGGGCGTGTGCTTATTACGGCGCGCCGCCGCGGAATGATCGCTGATAGAACTGCCGAAGTCCTTTGCATATCAAATGTAAAAATGTCTGGGTCTGGAAGAATGCAAGTTTGTCATGCTTGTCTGGCATGACTCTTAAATCTGTCATGCACATTACCAAAGAGCCCCACTTTTCTGTCATGCAGAAACGTAGTTTGTCATGCAGAATAGGCAACACCTAGAAGCTCAGAAACTTGTCATGCTGAGCCAGCAATTGCCGCCTCCTCATGATACGCCACACAGCATCACAAGTTTCCAGACCCAGACATTTTTACATTTGATATTGCAGGGTCATACCCCATCTCCTTCGCCATGGCCTTCAGCTTCAACTCCGCGTTATGGATTGCAAATATGTCTGGTGGGTCTGGAAGGATGTTGCAACTTGTCATGCTGGATTTGGATTCTGCATAAATCTGTATTGCATGGCCAGCTAGCAAAAGAGGTCCAGTTTTTTCTACGGCGAGAGGGCATTTCTCATGCGGTATAGGCATCAGGAAGCCCGCGCAAGAACATCTGTGATGCTAGGGCATGCATCACAGACATCAGGAGTCATGCAAAATGTGCATGACAAACCTTACATTCTTGTTCCAGATCCAGACACATTTGCACTTGATACGCGTTTGCCTCTCGCTGCCACGAATAGGCCATGACCGCAATGATGCTTAGCAGCACGAGTGCTCCGATTAATGAGGAAATGCAAATCACCATTATGCACTGCAAAAGTATCGCACTAACTCGTAGCAATTGCATTTATGCATTACAAGTCTTTTTCTTAAGGTAAATCAGCATTACAGATAATTTGCATTTGATTTGTAATGCTGAGGAAATAATTTGTAAATGCATTTATACGAGACTCCGATACTTTTGCACTGCATAACCGTCATGGAGCAACCACTTTCAGAAGTTGTAGGTGTGTAGGTGTGCGGGTGGAGGTCCTCCTCCTCCTTGTGAGCAGCTCCTGCCGCGGTTGTACCAACATTATCTAAACTGTTGGACGAGGAACTATTCTGAAACACGACTGTGGACGCAGAGTCCCCCGATGGTGAAGGCGGCGGCTGCGCCGGGTCCACCCCTTTATCATCAGGTTTATTCAACTTCCAATAAGCCTTTGATATCCTTCCTGAGCCGATGCCCTGTTCGGAAAATTCACCCTCCTTGCTTAGCTTCTCCGCGATAATTTTTTTATCGTGCGTAGTTGTGACGGCGCAAACTGGTTTGGTGTTCCGATAGGGTAGTTCTTGGGGACTACTAGGACTACCTTCTGGTCGTCCTGCATGTTCTTGAGTTGTGCTATTTATCCCTGGTGCCCCCCCTCTCCGATAAATAGTACCGAAGTGAAACTCATTGTCCTGAATGTGGCACCCCACTGGACCGTCCCAGTTATCCGACGCCGCCAGTTCTTTTGTCGCGAACATCATCTTCGCCGATAGGATTATGCATTTTGCAAACATGTTGTTTGATCAACGACCTCTCATCGGGATGGGGATCTGATAGACAACCTGAAATAATAATGAAGATGAAGCAGTATAATTTTTATACTATGCGTCCCCTAGCCTGATTGATTCTGCTCCCTAGCTTATTCGGACGGAGCAGGAGGTGCTACTAACTAGCGTCTTTGTTCTTGAGAAGTCTTTTTGTTTTTGTTCTTTTGAGTAAAAATCGGTAAAAAGTCATGCTCATCATGCAACCGACGTTCTTGCAGGATAGTCACAACGACCATTCCGCGCTTCATCATTTCCTGAGGACCCCGATGACTTTTCGTCACAACTACTGTATGCACGGTTTTGATACATGACGCCTCTAGACAATCCGCGTACGAGGTAATGGCATCGCCACACCGGCCGCAGTTGACCGTGCCTTCCACGCCAAACCGGTAGAGTCGCGAAGGGTCGTACTTGTTCCCCTTCCAGGAGAGATGCTCCCCACAGGGAGGTGGCGTGCCCGGGTACTTAAACGCAGACCGGGGTATGAAGAGGTTGCCCTGTATTTGGTCCTTCCGTGCGGGTGTTAAACTGAAACTCCGGGGCGTTCTCGGGTGCCCTAGCGTACGCCTCAAGCTCCGGAATCCCTAGGCCGAGCAACGGCCGCACATCCTGCACGTGACACCCTCCAGCAGGGCCGTCCCAATTATCAAATGCAAAAATGTCTGGGTCGGAAGATTTCGGGATTTGTGATGCATAGTATGTATGATCCATGATGCATGTAATGCATGATCTAGCATCACAGATTTTTAGAGGGCTCCCTAGTGCCTATTCCGCATGAGAAATTCCCTCTCCGCGTGACACAAACTGGACTCCTGTTGCTGGTCACGCAATACAGATTCAGATTTTTTTCAAATCCAAAGACAGCTTCACAAGTTGCTACCTTCCAGACCCAGACATATTTGAAATGCATACGGGAAGCTTGTAGACATTCGTTCCTCGTAAGTGGTGATGGTCGTGCCACACCGTCCGCAATTCGCGGTTGCTTCCTCGCCGAGAACATAGTAACGCAATCTGACTTTGTCCAGTTGTACTGCCCAAACATCGATCCCGCAGGGTTTGCTCGGCGGGGTCACGGTCGTGGAAAGAGCGAGATCTGTTCAAAAATTAATATCAGATTGATGAGAAAGTTGTTGTATCTATTCATTTTGAAAATAGTCAAGGGGCAAATGAAAAAAAATTTGCGCAATTACCGAATGACTAGGGAGAAGACTCAGCATTATACGTTGTTGTACTACTAACAATTTGTCAAGAAGTTAAAGTAAAGTTGTTGTACCAGCACTAGAAGCGTTGTAGCTCGTCCCTTGATCTTCTGTATCCCCTGCACTTGATGTTGGCTGCGGAAGCATTGGCGAAGGTGCAGGTGGTGGACCGCGATCAAGTGTATTATTTTCAGAAGTCCTGTTCATCAGTATTCCCTCGCCACTTCTCTCCTGCTCGTCTTGCTCGTCTCCAATTGTTCCAATTTCGTTTCCACCAACACTACTAATGAGGTGCCGGGCGGGGATCGTGCTGATGGTAGTTGTTGTCGTGGAAGGCGATGTTGATACTTTCGACGTGGCCCCTCCCTGGAGAAAATTCACCTTTCTGTAGAAGTTCTTGCTCATGTCCCTTCTTGATGTCCACCTCTCGTCATGATTTTCATCGGTGCCAGCAGCGCCAACAAGCAGGCCACCAGCATCACCAGGACCTCCAGGGACAATAGGTGCATGAGGAATTCTTCTACTTGTCGACGTCCTCCAGGAATTTGTACGCTCTTCGTCTTCTACTACCTCCGTCGATGTTTGTTTTCGATTTCGTCTTGTTGTTCTCGGACGAAATGAAGGTCTCAACCGCTCGGAGGTGGTGGAACTGGATCTGGATGTGGACCACGACCCGTCTACAGGAAATACAGCGAAAACTACTGCTACCCGACTGCATCCGAAAGCAGCTGCACAAGCAGCTACAGAGAACAACAGAGAAGGAGGAGACATCTTCACGTTCTACTTGAGGAGGAGGCCTAAGTCCTAAAAGCCACGAATTGTCGCCATCTTGATTTTCATGCTGGGGTATCAAGTATGGGTAGGTCGGACGAGAGGTGGCCTGTTAGTAAATAAAAACTGCATTTACGCTCTAAGTCGGAATAAAATATTTTTCCAATCTTTTGGAGGAAATGAGAAAAAGGAGCTAAAAACAATCAAATATGAGGAATTGCAAATGCAGATCCAGGTCCTGACGTTGATTATTGTTCGCACAAAATAAGTAGAGTTTCGTCAGAAAAACCGCGAAGCGAAGAAAGAAAGCGAATAGACCACGACAACGCGGATAGTTTCGCAAGAGCAATCACGACGCTACTAGGTAGAAGTACTGCAAGAATGGAAGAAAGAGACGCGATTCAGGTGCCGCGTCCTTTTCTTTGTCAACGTCTTGACTATGATAGACTGATTTGATCATTCCAGATCAACAGCCAGTGTACGATTCAGCACGATACATTGCTGGAAACCCGGCAAAAAATTTTGCACGAGGAGTCCTCGAAACCAGGACGATTCTGATGCTGCGGGGCTCCTTGGAACTGCGAAACGTAGAACGAAGACGAACGATAGTAGCATGAGGTAGAACGAGATGAAGACGCATGATGCACATGCATGTAATTGTAATGCTAATGCTAACAATCATATACAACTTCACACGGTGGAACGAAGAAACATCTTCATCTGCACGAGCACCGGGCACGACAGCGACGAGAAGATCAAGAACAACGAAAGAAACGTGAACTCACCATCGTTATCGGATGGATCATAATCTTACACGAATATTGAGATAAATTGCGTGTGGGTTTTGTACCTCCATGCGTTTCGGTCACTTCATAGAAAGATAGGGTGATATAATGATGTTGGGGACGACAGATAAACGGTAAATTTTTCCAGAAGGAGGAGCACTACTTCCAGAGCAGAGAAGGTCGCATCTGTAGTTGAATGCGTCAATGATCCTTCTCTTGCAATCTGCAGGTAAAAACCGCAGGGCGTCGCCATTGGCCGCTGCGCTAGAAGGAAAAAAGTAGTGAGCTCGTTCTACTTAATTCTACATGTTGTATCAATGGTCTAAAAATGCGAAATGGGGAGCGTACAGGTACTTACTACGAAACATGTTCAATTTCAGCAGGGTAGAAAACGAAAAAAAAAAAATATAAACTTCATTCGGTCACCCGGGCGCCGCCCCCCCGGCAACCGAGAATCTGGCTTGGCTGGCGCGACCGTCAAAGGACACTACACCCGCCGCCTCCTCGAGTGCGTGGTCCGTTGCCCCCGGATCCAACGCGTGGTCGATCGCCTTCCCGGCGTGCGTCAGCCCTCCCGGCGCCGCTTTGTTCATCGGATGACTTGTTTGCAATCCGGCTTTGAAGTCTTGCGCCGCGTGCAGGAAGGACCGCCGCGTGCCACCCTCCGCCGCGCTTCTTGGCTCGAGACCCGCGGCTAAGTTTAAGTTAGTGCCGTGAGCGTGATCGCCAAGAACAGCGGCATTGGAATTACTTTTCTGTAATGCAGCACCGGCTTTAGTACTATTCCCCCCGGTTGATGCGGCCACGGCTTTCAGCTTACCCGCGGCCTGCGCAAACCTGGCTTTCGCCTTGGCCTTTGCCGCTAGCGCCGCTTTGGCGGACGCCGTCGTGCCGGGTTTCGCTTTGCTCTTGCTCTTGGCCGCTGCCTTAGAGTGTCCGCCAGTAGATTTATTCGATGCCGTTCCGACTGATGGGGCACCAGAGGTATTGCCTACCGAAGAGTCGTCTCCAGATAGATCTCCGCCTGTTCCTGCCCTCCCCAGCGCGAACGCGTCTTCTACTCCCGCGCCTGGCGCGGCTCGCTGCCGGAGAAATTCATTTTCGAGAAATGCGTCTTCATTTCCACCATAGCAATGCTTGTTACCCCTAGTCGTTGCACCTGGTGCTTCGCCGGCAGCGAGTCCCCCTACGATGTCGTTGTAGATATTATTTTGTCCTGGTGCAGCCACACCACCCCCGCCCTGTTGATAGGTTTTCTTAGCAGCCCCGGAGACCGCCTTGCTGCCCCGTTGTTTCGGCTTCACAGCCAGCGCGTCGGGTATGATCGGCTGAGAGAAGTCCACATATCAAATGCAAAAATGTCTGGGTCTGGAAAAGTGTAAACTTGTCATGCAGATTTTCCATGACCCATGAGGTCTGGAATGCGGGACTTACTAGCATGACAGACTCTGCGAGGTCTCTGGCTCTGCCATGCCTATCGTGCATGAGAAACTCCCTTCCAAGTTGGTCAAAAGTGTACCGCTTTTGGCACTCATGCAACACAGATTTTTGCATGCTTCAGATTTACGATGACAAGTTGCAATCTTCCAGACCCAGACATTTTTGCATTTGATACCACATCTGCACCGTCTAAACCCTTCGCCCAGAACCGCGCTGGGTCCATCGTGGTCGATGCCAAATTGTAGCTCTGCACACTCATCACGCCCATGCTTGTGTTTGCTCCCAGTCCCTGCGCACCGCCGTAGGTGGCATGATTGACTCCGGAGGCCATACTGTTAAGCCCAGCCGTGGAAGTGCCGCTGTGCCTCGGGGCCGCTGTCGGAATGTCGCCAGCAGAATGATCAGCGCAACATTCGCAACCGGCAAAAGAGAAATAGATCCCCACGGCCAGCAGTACTAACACCCCGCACCCGGCGAGAATCCCGATGAGCACGAGCTTTTGCAAGCGCTCGTCGGCGGCTTTTTCGTCAGCAAAAGCACCATCCCCGATCCGATCTTCGGCGCTTACGAGTTGCTCTGTGTTCTCTCCTTCTTCTGTGGGAACAGGAAGCCCGGACGTGTCATCCAAGGCCTGCTTCTGGGCCAACTCCCTTGCGGCTTCCAAATCGAGAGTGAGCTGTAGCGTCTCCTCTTCCGGCCCGGCTATCGCGATCTCCCCGTCTAGAAGTACCTCTCCAGAGGGAAATTTTGGGATGGACGGTAGGTTCAGGTTTTGGACTAATTTTGCCTCGGTTGCGAACCTACTCTCCTGTTCGAAATTTTTGAACCCGCAGACCGTCATTTTGTCCACATAGTTGCCAGGTTTTTTCGTTGTACCCATCAAATTGGTCGCTTGACTGTCCACGAAAAATTGCTCTACCAGATTCTTGACACTCGCTGCGTCTTCGTGATCTCTTGGCATAAAGGAAACCTGCGGATACTCTGCTTCTTCTTTCGCTGCATCTTCGTCTCCTCCTGCTGCAGTTTCAGTTGTTCCTCTCACCAGCTTGATCAGATACAGACTGCATTCGCCCCGCTTGGACCAGAGAAATTGTTCGCGGTAAATGGGAGTCTTGGCGAGCAGCCGGGTGTAGGGGCTCCGGATCTTTAACGTTTCTGTATCTTGCTCCGCGGTTTCAGTTTCATCTTGCAGTTCCTCGGATCTTTCCGGCAAGAAGTGCTCCTGCCACTCGATTTCGCGTTGGCTCTCCAGATACACAGCCGTCGGCGGGTACACAAACTGATACGCAACACAGTCCCCCCTCCGTAAACAGTCGTGGTAGCACCCGAGCTCCGATTCTTCGGCGAGAGCGGGGGCAAGCAGGTTGATTTTCTCCTTCTGGAGAATGTGTTCCGCGTAAAATTTTTCCTTCTTCGGGTACCACAGCTCTTTCAAATATCTCGTCCGGCTTCCGTCGTCGTTCGGCTCCAATTCCTGACCGACCTGCGTGAAAGTCTTCAACCACGGTTGGATCTCGATTTGCGATTTCTTCAGAATTGTTGCCGTCTTTCTATCTTCATTAGAATCTTCGCTCGACTGAGGTAGTTTTTTTACAAACGGGATCAGCTCGTCTGCAGCATTTTGTACAACTTCTACCGAGCAGCGCGCGCCCAGGTATCGTTTCACCGCCAAGTCTGATGTCGTTGACTGAGCTGCGTCGAGTTGCGGGTCGGGCCAGATTTTCGATCCCACGCCGCGAAAATTTGAGTGTAGGAGCGCCCAGTCCGGTTCGTTTTTGTGGTACACAAACTCGTCGAAGTTTCTGGTGACCAGCTTTCCCGTGCGCGTTTGTAAATCGCAGTTTTCGAAACGGAGGTCTTGCTGTAATTCGCTTCCCTGCGGACAGGGTCTCTTTTTTTCCAAAAAGAGTGACTTCTGGTCGAACGTCAATTCTTGCCACAGCACCTCTTTCCCGTCCACAGACACGACGCACCTGTCACCGGCGCTTTTCATTCTGCGGCGCTTGATGTGCCTCCCTCCGCAACAGGTTTTGGGAAACAAAGGTAGTTTTTCTGCTTCTGCGTCTTTTTCGACCGCCCTCATTTTCGTCGTGCAAAACGCGCTATCGTGGAACGCAACTGCTCCCGGATCCTTCGCGTCGTAGACTGCGGCTTGGATACTGACCCAATCTGCCAAAGTGACCCCGCCCTCCGGATCCAGTAAAGCGCTGCTCGACGAGCTGTCACTGCTGCTGTTTTGCAAAAAGAACGCGCATAGCTGCGCGTCGGAGTTGAAGCTTCCTGAGTCAGAGGCTTCGCCCTTGCTCAAGCTTCTTGTCAACGCGGTCTGGTAACTGAAAAAATCCGGCTCCGAGGAGGGAGAAGTTTGAGCAGCAGAATTATCTGCATTGTCTTCTTTCTGGTCCTGTAACCGGAGACTGAACTTACCATCCGAATCCTCTTTCGGATCCTCGAATTTCGTTCCAAATCGCGCCCAAGCTTGACAATACGGATGCTGCTCACAAAGCAACCCGCACTCCATGGGGGTTTTTGCGAAAACTTTTGTGGGATACACCCCCGGGAACCCGTACTCAAAGCCGGTGGAAACGGTTTTTTTGTATCCACTGCAAATACGTCTGGGTCTCCTGGAAGATTGCCAGGTTTGCGATGCATATTTTGCATGACCCGTGACGCCTGTAATGCATGGCCTAGCATCACAGATTTTTGGAGGGCTTCCTGTTGCCTATTCCGCATGAGAAATGCCCTCTCCAGATAGGACAAACCGGACTGCTATTGTTGCTGGTCATGCAATACAAATTTTTTCAGAATCCAAAGACAGCATCACAAGTTGTGACCTTCCAGACCCAGACAAATTTGCACTGGATATTTTGATCTCCCTTGCTATTTCGTCGGACAACCCGGTCACTTCGGAGGCTGGTAGTGTCTTCTCGTGTTCCCCAGCCTGCTCTGTACTCTTGTATTTCGGCAAATAGAACATGTGGACTGTGTTTCTCGCTAGTTCCTCACCGGCTAGTACGACTGTTGCAGCTCCTGCTGCGCCGTCTTGTTCCGGTTTTTCTCTCTCGTCGAAGCAGGTCTTGTATTTGGGCAAGGAGTCCTCGAGGAATTGCTTTACGACGTCGTCTCCGGGTTTTCCCTTCTCATCTTCATCTTCTAGTCTGCCCCAGAGAAAATCCTCCTCGGTCTGCCACGTCGAAAACTTACACTTCTCGGGCGGCAATGCCAAGGTTTTCAGTAGTTTGTGGGGTGACGAGTAAAGTTGTTGTAGAGAAGAAGATTCTTGATCATACTTTAATATTCCGTCAAGACCTTTTTCTTTCTCGCTTTTCTCACTTTCAACATCTTGCAGACGAACTTGTTCCACATATTGTGCTGGTCGTACACGGCCTGGGGCACGTCCACGTGCAAGAACCTGTAATAGAGCTCCTCCTGCAGCTCCATCAAGTAGTTCTTGCTGAGCTTCTTCCACCTCTTCGTGCGGCCCTCGCCGCGGCCCAGTAGCAGGATCGACGTCCACAACATCATTATCCTGTTCTAGTCTTGTTCCCTCCTGCTGCTCTTCGAGAGGTGCCTCGACGTACCGTGTCCTAGTCCTTGACGTAGCTCTGCTAGAAGTGGTACTTTTCTGTTGAGTTTTACTTGTAGTCTTCAGAAGCTGGTGCTGAGGACCACCACCGGTTTTTTTATCCCGCAGTTTATTCTTTTCCGTACCTGCCAATATTTTCGACCTCTTCTGCCTCTTCACTGAGGACGTTCTCACGGAGACGGCTCGGACCAGCACGTAGGAGTTCTTGCAGAGGTGCAAGTGCTTGTCGTGGAAATTGTTATTAAAAACCACAAGTAGCTGCACGGCGACCGTTGCCACGGTCCTCATTTTTGATCACCGGTCGTCGTGCAGTAGAAATGGTCGGCGGCGCAAGGGGACTACTACAGGTAGTTCCGGTTCCACTCCTAGAAGTAGGTTAATATTGGAAACTGGGTTACTTAATGGAAGATTGATCAGGTTAGAAATGTATCTCAAGAATGGGTCGCCCGCAGTCGGGAACGAATGTTGAGTGGCACCGGGAGCAGGTGCACTTACAGAATGAAAGGGAACAAAGGATTATGAATCTACACGACGGGCATGATATTATTAGGGTGGGCATGTTCAAAATATGGGCAAATACGGGGGCAACTTTACTTTCTGAAACTGAAAGTCAAAATAGTTGGAATGCTATATTTGTTTTTGTACGATGAATTGGTACTACGTGGAAAAAAATCATTTTCAACATTCTGCTCTTCCTGCAGTAGAAGCGATTGCACTTCATATCTGGTACAATCAGAAGTAGATGATGAACGATTTCTTTGTACGAGCACGAAGATGCGCATGCACCACAACAACAGCGCAGGTTGCACGAAAAAGAGCATCATGGTAAAACCAAACGAAGCAGACGACGACCGACTAGGACATGGATGATCACCGCCAGCTCGTGGCAGTTGTGTATTGCCTGTTCAGTAGCACGGCTCCACTGTTTCTCTTTGTTTTTGACGTTGGCGTCTACTGTTGTGGTGTACGACGAGTTGGTCATCGCGGTTTTTATTGAGGAGGCAAGCATAGTGCTTATGAGTGTAACAGGGCCTTGTAGTCCCAAGAACGACACAAGAAAGTCGCTCTGCTGGGTCATCTTTATGTTTAGTTATGATGCTGGCACGTATGTTTTATTATGCACCCCTCGTCGACTCCCAAGTCGATAGTAAATTGAAAATGCGTCTTGCTCACCTTGCGTTAAGATGCGACGCTGTACAAGTAAACAAGTAGGTGTGGGTCCGCTGTAGTACATTTTGGCCTCGTTAATATTTGTAATCGTTTCTTGCCGTTCATGTAGCACGTTTCATCTTCAATACAAAGCAGCTCGGCAAGAAGAACTGTGAGGGCGTGGATTTTCGGTGTACTAGCGCTTGTTTATTTTAGTGTCCTCGCTCTTCATTCAGGAAAATCGTCTTCACCTATGACAGTTTTTTCCTGCTGTGAACGCAGCAGCATCCGCGAGCTTCTTCGGGAGAAGAAGCATCGCAGGGCGCTGGCGCTCCAAACTAAAACACTTTCGTGCTGGTAGAGTGCAGCTAACTCGCAGAGCGTTGCAGAGCGCTACATCTTTGCAGAGCGATGGAAAAAAAGCTGATGTAGTACTGCCGTGCTGTTGTTGACTGATGTCGCTAGATTTTTCTTTTCCTTCGTGAAATACAATTTTTCTTTGTGAGATTCTGTCGCTATTGATGACGCTGCAACTGCAACTGGTGCTGCATTTGCTATCCCTATTTCTATTAGTTTTGCGTTTGTAGTTCTTATGCGAGATTGCGAGAGAATGCGCAATCGCGAGAGAATGCGCAAAGAAAAAATAGAAAGCAGAAGCTTGCCGCATCAACAAGGTGAGTATATGGGGGGACCGTAGGGCGAAGCACACCCTCAGCGGTAGAGCAGAAATTCTACCAAGTTTATCTTCCACTTGAGGCTTTTTTTTTCGTTGCTGTTGCTTCACTTGCTGCACAAAAATAGTCAAATACTAACTCTCTTGAGAAACTTGCACATGCTGTCATCATGAAACTACTCCTTAGCCTGCCTAGTGCAGATTCAAACATTACAGATGAAGATCAAGATACCCTCCAAAGAATCACGTGGATGCCACTGTGCGTGTATTTCTTGTCATCTTTTGATCTGTGCGAAAAGGAGAGCAGCCATAAGAAGTCGCACAAATATTTGGTAAAAACCTCACAAACAACTGTGTCACAACGTGCTGCACTAGATAGACAGGCTCCGGCCTCACTCCGGGGAAGCTGGAAATCCATACTGACATGAAGTGACACAACAACTACAGTAAAGAAACCATGACAAAGCTGTTATGGAAGCTTCGGGGTCTAGAAAGGTGCACCAAATGAGTTCCGCTCCTTCGTTCTTCTACTTAAGCTTAGTCTACTTCACACCTAGTTCTTGTTCTGCTGCTTCTGCTATACTTACGCAGTAGCCAAATCGAGCGGTAGGTACGGGATAAGCGGGCAGCTCTCAACATTGATGTGGTGGTGGAGTCCAGATTTTGATATTGTACTAATCAAAGAACAAGGCACAATCTCATGTCAATCTCTAGGCCTATTTTTATTCTTAAAGCGCCCAGTTGTAGATTTTTTTAGTGGATTAGCAGCAGAGGCTTCACCCAGCAGCGGGCTGTTTTTTTTTATTTTGTTTGATTTTTTTGCATTTTCATTTGAGAAAAAGCTTTATTTTGTTCCTAAGTATCAAGCTCTTCTGCAGAATTTTTTGTGCCGCGGTCGTTGGCCTTTAATGTAGACCTTCGACGAGCAGGCTTGTACGTCTGGAGAGCTTTTGGGATTGGGTTCTTCTTTTTGGAGAAACAACGTAAGAGAATAACGATAAAGAAGTACGCAGGATCTGTATTAAGAGAATAACGATAAGAAGTACGCTTTGTCATATTAGGGTTCTGTCTTTTATTTCATTGTGTATTTTTATCTTGAATCTCCAGTCAGAGACGGAGCTCCAAGCTTCGGACAAAAAATTAAGGCAAAAGAGCGCAGCGATTTTTTTTTTTCGTTTTTTGCTTTTTTTTTGTTTTTCAGGTTTTTTGCTTTTGTTCTGTTTTGTGATTTTTGTCGTTTTTTCTGTTGCGTGAAAACTCCGGATAGTTGAAAACGCGACGTGTGCGCGACGAAACGTACTAGGTCGCGACGAAACGCAGGCTCCGATAATATATCGGATGCGATTGGATCTGGCGGATCCGGTTAGTACTGTATCAGAAGGAGAACAGTGCTCGTACTCCTCGTGACCGGATCGATATTAGACCAATATACAAGCTTCTGCATTCATAATTGTGAGAAGATGTTTGTAGAGAAAAGCATTGAGAGATGTAGATGTACAGATCTAGATAGGTTATCCTCGATAAAAAAATACCCAACTCCCTTGCACGAGAAACCGAAGTCAAGAACAGTTTTTTTTCTTCTTTTCAATTTCAAATCGCTGACCACGTCTAGTCGTGCGGCGTTCGGGTCTTATTTTGCATAAGAGAAGACGAAGAAGTTCTTACAGTCAGTTGGTCAGAAATCCTCCGGGTCGTAGAAAAAGGAAGAAGAAGAAGAAGAAACTACTGCTCCTTGACTGGAATTTCCATACTACAGCTGCCGCACCTACCTGTTGGTCTTCCGTGCCGGTGGTGCAGAAGTGGCACGACGACGACCTCCACAACGGTCGATTTATTTATTGTTGTATCTTCTCTCCTGAGTAGGAACAAGCTTCTACCGCATGCCGCCTAACTCGATGAGTATTTGAAGAGTTGTAAATCAACAAGACCACGCTGTGTCGTGTGGCTGTCATTGCAGCTCCTGAATTAGTGTACTTACTTCATTCGTGTCGCTTTCTTCACTTTTTCGTCCTGTCGCTTGGTTCAAAGTTGTCGCTCGTCCGGCGTGATGATAGAGGATTTTTCATCTCAATGGAGTCGTAATGTCGCGGGCTGACATAACAGTAGAAGTTGTACTTGTCGTAGATAATAGAACGGGTACGTAGCGCAGGTAGTTGTATGTCAGTTGTAATGCTGTCGCAGCACGACAACATCGATATCGAAGAATCGTCACCATTGCAAGTTGTAGTAGCAGTTGTGTCGCAGTAAGAAGATCCTCGCCCTCCATTTCGTTTCGTCCACGAAAGAGCAGTGACGTTTGCTCTTTGAGGCTATTGCTTTAAAAGCTAAAGCTTCTTCTGGTTCTGTTTTTTTAGATGCAAAAGCCTTTTGCATCTAAAAAAAACAGAACCAGAAGATGCAACGGAAACTATCGTAGCGCACTTTATGTACTTAGCTGCTGCCGGTTCCCTTTCTCGTGCACAGGTAGTCGATGCTTCGCAGTGGTGGATAAATGGCATATGAAGATGTACTTGGAATGCGAGCTGCTGATGTTCACGCTATCTTCTTACTGTAATGACGAGTATGTCATGCGAATGCTACGTCTTATTTTTCTATCACTGTCTACAAGTATTGTTATATCAGGTCGAAAGCCGCCATCTTCGCAAAAAATCTATTATAGCAGGCTTGCAAAACAAAGCAAAGTAACATTAAATCTTCATCAAATTTTCGTATCATTATCACTTTTTCCCTTTCTTGTGCTTTTTTGACGAGGGGGCAGTAGACTGGGGCTTGCTGTTCTTGTCAGGGCCAGCTTTTTCTTCCCCGCTGTTCAACATCAAAGTCGAACTAGTTGGCCTCGAGGGCTGGATATAATCTTCAACATGGATTTCAGTGTCACCTCCTTCATCATCCGACAGCTCGGGAATTGTACAGCCGCTCCTCAGCACGTCGTTCACAAAATCCAGCTGCTCCTGGGCATTGCAGACATCGTTGTTGTATTCGAACTCATCTTCCAAAATAAATCTTCTGCACTCATCTTCTTCTTCAACACCGTGATTTTTAGCGTCTTCATCAGTGCTGTCGTCCTCGTCGCTATCAGGGGGTAAAAGACGCTCAACTTGGTTGTTCAGTCGACCCTTCATCTTGCGAGAGGATAAAGCAGAGCCGGTGGAAGTTGTTCCGGGCCCCCTAGAGGGGACCCCGGCACCGCCCAGAAGGTCATTACTGCCAGCAGTTGTCGCAGCAGCATTCTCGTCATTCGCATTCGAGCTGCAGCTGGCCGATCCCGAGCATGAGCTTGTGCTAGAGAAGGCCGAGGTGGCAGCTGTTCTGCTCGCAGGAAATAAATTCATTCCACCACCACCAATTCTGCTTGCACGACTGCTGTAGTTGCGGCTCGAGGACGAGCTCCCTCCCCCGCCGCTGGCCCGCATCAGAAATTCCCGCACATCTTCCTCGTCCTCTTCGTCCGCATCTTCATCCAGATAAAAAACGTCGTGTTCCTCGTGCTCCCCTTCGCGCAGGATTTCCGCAATCCGCGATGCCGACATGGTTTCCTCCCCGTCTTCCGCGATGGAATAGGAGGCCGCGAACTTGTTCACGGAAGTGCTGGAAGAGGGGACCCCGGACGTTGATGAAGCGGGAGGTAGTACCCCACGACCGGCCGCACTACTGCGAGGCTTGGCAGGCATAGAACTGGTTGTGTTTCGACGGTCAAGAAGTGGCTTCTTCTTGTTCACCTCTGACGAAGAGACACTCGAACTACTCGAAGTAGAAGTCGCACTTGCAGTTGCAGCAGCTGTAGCCGCGCCCCAAGTGACCTGCCCGCTCGGAGAGCGCGGCCCTTCCAGACGTGCATAATCTTGTATGCTCGTAGACCATTCAGCACGCGGAGCGCCACGTGGAGGTCCACCGAGCCGAAAATTTTCCGGCAGAGGCATTCCCGGGGGGAAAAAAGGTTTGAGTTTTTCCATTATGTGTTCTACGTACACTTTGTCTGACTGGAATTTAATATTTTTACCACAAAGGCCGCGCGGGGATGTTCTTGTTGACATCGGTTGATGTTCTTCTTCTCCGGCATTTTTGTCGGTTGTGTTGGGGCGGCCCTCGCCCTGCTGCTCTGCTTCTGCTGAAAACGCCGCTGCAACGTCGTAAGAATGGTTTAACCTTGTTCTAAAAATCTCCGCCAGCTGTCGTTCTGCCTCCAATTTCTTTTCCCCTTCGCCATGCTCGCTGACGGTCCTGGACAAGTTCGTGATCACTTCTCGCTGCGACCTGTCCTCAGATAAGACTTTTGTCAAAACCTCCCGGGCCTTTTGGTGCTCATCATGTCTCCCGAGGTGCACGACTCGGGTTTTAGGATTTGATGCATTTCGCGTGGTGCAGATGTCGCCATGCTCTTCATTTTCCACCTCGTCAAGTAAGGCAGTTGTAGGCGTTCGTTATGAACTGCAAAAGTATCGTACTCGTATAAATGCATTACAAATTTTCTCAGCATGAGAAATGAAATTTGTAATGCCGATCTACATTGAGAAAAAAATTTGTAATGCATGATTGCAAAAATACGAGTGCGATACTTTTGCACAGGATATTCGTGTGGTGCATGTTATTCGTGGATCTTGATGTTGTATCGCAAGAAAAAACTGTTTCACTGTGAACTTGTGATGCATCGAATGGAACACAGAACTATTTGCCTTGCTACACCTGCAAGACATTGACTCTTTAGAGGTGTTTTCCCTTGGAGAGCGCGCATGGCAAATTTTCTGTGTCATGTGTAGCAAACTTGTGATGCGGATCTTGCAGAAGCATCACAGTGAAACAGTTTCTTCGTGGGATATGTTGTCCTTCAACTGCACCTGCCATGTTGCGGGAAAAATGATCTCCTGCTTCGACTTCTGCTCGAAGATGTCCGGTTGTAGGACCCGCTCTACTTTCACCATCAGCTGCTGTTGCTGTTTTTCCTGCGTGCTGGAGATCATTTTCATTCCCCCGGGTCGCTGTGTTAGTATCACTTCCACCTCGAAGATCTTCTTGTCCGCCTGCTCGTGCACCACAAAAACTACTACGACGTGCTGCATTATTTCTACTGTGGTGTAGCTGACGGTTTAATGTTTCGTGAAGATCTTCCCGTTCTACCACCCGATGCGATTTATCGTAGTCCTTCCCCGCCCCAATTAGCTGCGACAGATTGAAGTGCACCTGGTATTGCATCTCCAGGATTTCGCGCAGACAGTCTTCCCGCTTCGCCTTGCGCCTCTCGTTTTCGATCTCGACATTCAACTGCACGTCGTATAGTTTTTCCCAATTTTTGAACTCCGCTTTGAAGTCCATATTCCGTGCCTTGGGCGCCACCACGCGGTTGAAAAGAAACCGTTTCACAATCTGCTCGCAGTCCCGAAACTTGATCGCGACCTCGCGGAGGTCTTCCCGCGCAATAGCACTGCGGCCGTCTTTTTCGTAGATACCATCCTGCAGCAACTGCAACCCATCCCCGTCGCCCGTTTCGCGCAGCTTTTTCTCCGCCCGTTCCACCGTCCGGTGGTCCTGAAAGCGCTCGACATCCTTCTCTCGGAGATAGCCGCAGATTTCGCTCGCCTTGTCGAATTCTGCTGAATACTCCGTTGCGAGTTTTTGGCTGGAGGTGAAAAGTAGCATCGTCTGTTCGTGGTCGGCGTGAATCTGCTGAAAACGTTCTTTCTCCTTGGCGGTGATTTGTGTCAAACTTCTCCCACTGTTGCGGATCTGTTGCTCAAATTCGTCCAGTTCTTTCCGTGTGTCCTGGTGCCGTTCTTTGAAGAACTTCTCGCATTGCTCGTTTTTCCGGTGCTTTGCGATGAGCATGCGCATGACGTTGCTTCCTTTTCTATCCTTCAGAAGCCCCTGCAAAAACTGCAACTTAATCTCGCTTTCCAACTGCAAAAGCTCCTTCACGGAATAATATTTCCGGTCTCTTCCCGTGATCGGACACCTACTTTTCCGGTTGTTCTCAATATTGCTGCTCGGAAAGTGATCGAAATCTTCATGATCTTCCTCCATTCTCTGCACGCGACACAGCCGGACGATGTTCATAATTAACGCCCCCACGCGCTGCAAATCCGCTTCTCGCTCCTCGTGGGAGAGAGTTCTTTCGGAACAAGCTTTAGCCAGTCGCTCTCTCCGTTCCTTCTTTTCACTAGCCGGCCACTGTTTTTCCCACTCGGGGGACAGGAGTTCCGCTAGAAGATCCTCTTTTTTGTTTATTTTCCCGTTCTTGTTTCTACTCCAACGGGAAGATGCTGCAGGTCGTAAAAAAGCACAGGGGTTGACGTTGATCATACCATTCAAATTCCCACCTCCCCGCCCAGTACAAGAACAAGATGCTGCACAGCACAACTCCTGGAAACCCGAGTCGAATTTCAGAATGTGCTGCTGCAAAACCGTCAACACCACCAGAAACATCTCCGCGCGCCGCAGATGCCTCGTGTGAACCACGTTCTCGTGGGAAGAGTACGAGAGTAGGATGCTCCAGTTTCTCTTTTCTTCTCTCGTTTGTTCATTATCATTCTCAGCTTCTTCCGACAAGCCCATCTGGTACAAATCATCTAAGTTGATCATCTTCTGCACAGCCGGTTGTTTTTCTGTCTCGACGAAAAACTGCTCGCCACCTGCTCGTCCGGTTGTTGCCCGGATAAAATCGTCAGCGTCTGCAGCGGCGGCCTGCTCGAGTAGAGTGGTTTTTCTCTGAAGGTTGGCACCAAGGGCTCTTTGATGTTCTCCGGACTCGTCGACCTCTTTCTTTTTGTTCTTCTTCCTCTTCTTCTTCGCAGCGGAGGGTAAGGTAGCTGCGGAGGCTCCTGGTCGTGGTCCTGCTGATGCTGAAGATGCACTAGAAGTTGTACGCGAAACGGGTTGCTCTTGCTGGAACGCCTCGCCGCATTCAGGCACGACCTCGCCGCCCAATGAGACACCATGACCGCCGCCGCGGGTAGAAAGGCCCTCCTCCTGCTGATGCGCCGGTGGACTGCTGCTGTTGATAAAGGTGCCGTAACTCGAGTGGTCTATAGCCAAAGTCTCTACATTGGCGTTCTCGCCCAGTTGTTGCTGAATGAGTTCCGCAATTTTCCGCGACCGCTTCTCCTCCTGGTCCGCCGGAGTGGCGACTAAAAGCAGTAATAATACGTTGTGGTTATGGGAACAGTCCAGAAGTTCCTGTTGAATCATCACCCCCAGCCGGGACTCGGTTTGGAAAGAGGAGGGCGGAACTTCTTGCTGTCCTCGATGTTGTGCATGTGCTGAACCAGGTGGACCATGTGATGTAGTACTAGTAGATGTTGTTGAAAAGACCTTTTTGCCGGTAGTTGCACTACTGGGGTAATATGTTGTTGTAGCGCCTCCACCTGACCCCATGACCTGTTGTTCCTGCTCTTCTTCCTTCTCCCGTTTCTCCCGTTCCAGCAACATTCTCGCGTACTTCACATCCGCATTTTTCCAGATCACGATCGACCTCCCCGCTCTTTTCGCAGTTCGCAACACTTTCCGCAATTCCGATTCTGTGTCCCCCAGCGCCGGCCGCGTGATGTCGGAGCTCCCGAACTGGAAGACGTGTAATTTCAAAAGATGCGCGATGCAGAAAGCCAATCTGGTTTTCCCGGTGCCGGTATCGCCACAAATGATCAGCCAATTTCGGTTTCTGTTCATCTTTTGTTGAAATAACTTGCCGTAATTTCTGGATTCTTCCAAATCGTCGGGGAGAGTGAGGAAATTTTTCTCCTCGTCATCTTCATCTACACCTTCGGAGTCGCTTTTTTTGTCGACGTGGAGGTGGTCCCTGCGTTGTTGTTCATCCGCGCCGTTGGCCTTGCGGTCCGGATTTTTGAGACTGTCCTGGTCAAGCTGCACTTTCTGCTTCATCACCCGAATTCCAAAACCGTTCATTTCTGCTTGGTGGAGCTGCATGCTTTCCTGATCCTCCGGCAGTCCGAAAAGCGACCTGTGAAGAAATCTCTTGTCAAGCGTCGGATGCCGAACGCGTGCAATCAGTGATATTGAAATTTGTCATGCGCAAATACAAATACACTCGATCTGCGATTTGCGTTTGTCATGCGAAAAAATCGCAAAAAAAAAAAAAATGCACATGAATACCTGATCCTCTCCACGACTTCCGCCTCCTGCTCGAGCCTCTGCTGTCGCGTTTTCGAATTCTGCCCCTCAAATTCTTCCAACACCAAATCGCTCCTCCTTTTCTTCCTCCTCGAAATCGCCGCGTCGTTCTGGTGCCATTTCATGCTCGTTTCATTCCCTCCCACCTCCACAAAATCCTCCCCCTCGGGATTTCGGTACAATTTCCGGATCCAATCCAGCACTTTGATTTTCACGTCGGGACAGCCGTAAAAGGTAAATTGCTTCGTAATAGTTGTACTAGAGCCGCTTTCATCATCATCATCATCTTCTTTATCTTTGGGCAGGTACGTCTGCATCACTTTCCTTTTCACCACCGGTCTGACACTTACCTGCTTACACTTAGCTACGCGACGAGAGGATGAGTCTGATTGTAGTCCTGGTGCAACAACTTTGGTACTACTATTTCTGGAAATTATCGGAGTTTCGTTTTCCACGACAACGTCCTTGCTCCTTCGCAAAACCTGCTTCGGCACCGGGGAAAGAAGGAGTGGTGGGGCGGGTGCAGTTGCAGGAGACGTTGTAATGGAGGTAGGCTTGTTAATTTCGACAATCGGAACAGCAGCAGCAGTTGCGCTATGGCTCGTCTGGTGACCATGTGGTCCACTCGGCGGGGGCTGCACCGGTTGTAGTACTGCTCCCGGTAGAATGCTCGTCTTTTTACTACCAGAAGTCATCGTCGTCGTAACTCCTGGCGGCGCCATCGGATTCATCCCGACCGCTTCCAGTGCTTCCCTCCCATACTGCTTTTCCTATGAGAGTGCACAACTCCCCCTCCCCCTCATTTGTGTTGCATGAACAGCAACACAAGCGCTGGCAAAGATGCAGCTTTTGCATGACAAATTTCTAGAGGATTGTAGTGCTGTTTTGCCTTTCGGAATCTGTCATGCAAAAAGTGCTAACAGGCAAGAGGTAGATTTGGGAATTTGCATGACAAATGAGGGGGAGGGGGAGTTGTACATTATCATATTTCCAGCCGCGCCCACAGAAGCCGTGCCTCCAGTGCCTTCTTCTCGCGCAGAAAGTTCTCCTGGATCTGCTCGTGATACCGATATGCATCGCAAAAGTATCGCACATTGCGTTTATGCATTACAAATCTTCTTGTCAAGGCAAAACTGCATTACAAATTCAATTTGTAATGCTAAGTCAATTTGTAATGCAACATATACTAGTACGATACTTTTGCAGTTCATAACCGATCCTGGCGGACAATCTGTTCTTGCTGTCGCCGTCTCATCTCCTCCAAACGCGTCTCTTGCCGGGGCGGTTCTTGTAGTTCTGCTGGGATTTCTGGTTGAGTAAGTACGCCAGGCAAGGCCTTATTTGTGTCGTCGAGTTCATTCGGGTGCTGCTCCTGCGCCAGAATATTAGCCCCCTCCGCATGGTCATTCGACGGCTTCGCTTTGTTCAACATCGTTGACTGTTGTTCCACCTGGACGAGCCGCCGCTGGTCCTCAAGACCTGTAGGGCGAGAAGTTGTTGTGCTGGCAATAATCGAAGGTCCCACCTGCCCGATCCGGGTGTTCGCTAATTCCTCGAGCGAGGATGGTTTGTAGGAGCTCGCAGAATTGTGCGCCGGCGGGGGAGCCAGGGACGTGACGGAGTGTGTTGCAAGGTGGTGCCCAGTTGATGTTCTCATCTGCTGGTGGTCCATTCGGGAAGCTGATCCGGTTGGTAAGGGGCCGACGTTCGACGATGCGCCTGAAAGAAGGTCGTCAGGTATGAGAATCACTGAGTCCTAGTTGTGGTGTTCGTTGTATGCATTGGCATTGCAGCTGCAAAAGGATGAATAGGAATAGGAAAATTTCAATCGTATTAGAAGCGAAAATTGCAAGAGAAATTTTAAGTACCGAGGTGCCCAGCATCGCGCCCCATATTAGCCATATCCCGTTCCTTCATTGGCGAGTCGATGGTCGAATCGGAGCTCGACGGCGACTTCATATGCTCCTGAAATAAACGAGAAGCACCACCACACGTCGACCCTCCTTTCTCCTGTTCCGCGATTCGCATTTCATTCTCCAGAAACGCTGTCGCCTTCTCCTCGGCCGACACTATGTCCCGCATGCGGAACAAGTCCGTCTCCGCGAAAAAGTGCGCGTGGGGAGAGGACGTTGAATTGTGATTGTTCAGATGTAGGAGCTCATACTGAAGATCTGGTGCCCCAACCCCCTCGACGTCGCCCATAAAGTTGATATCCGGCAAGTCCTCAGGATCGAATAATCTGTGGTCCGGCTGCAGATCAAATTCGACGTCTCCTGGTATAGTAGTACTTCTGACCATATTATGTTGATCACGACCAGCATTATGACCACGACCTGGCACAGCTCCGGAAGATGTAGATGACATCACCCCCGTCGCAGCTCCTGCTGCGACCATATTCGAATCAAAATGGACATATCAAATGTAAAAATGTCTGGGTCTGGAAGATTGCGAGATTTGTCATGCATATTTCGGATCACGCAAATGGCGTCTGATGCAGGCAAAAGCATCACAGGTTTTGAACACGCCTCATGATGCCTGTCCCGCATGAGAAACTTCCTACTTGCGTGCCAAGAAATGGACAGCTTTTGGCGCTCATGCAACACAAATTTTTGTGTGTTCCAGAGTTTGCATCACAAGTTCCAACCCTTCCAGACCCAGACATTTTTACATTTGATAGGACATCCGCTTCCGTCATTTCCAACAGGTCTTCCAGTATCCTGTGCAAAAGTATCACACTCGTAGTAATGGCAGTCATGCATTACAAATCTTTCTCTTATGGTAAAGCCGCATTACAAATTTTCTTTTTCATGCTGAGGAAATTTGTAATGCATTTATACGAGTACGATACTTTTGCAATTCATATCCAGCTGTGTAGTGCAAAGATGGTGCGCCTTGGTCTGGCTCTCGTCATCGTCGGAGAGAGACTGGAGCGAGGAAGATGAACTGGAGGACGAAACATTGCTGTGCCGGGGACCAGGATTTTTCGAAAACAAACCAGAACCTGCTGGTGCTCGGTTGTAACCCTGAAGACGAGGAGACGAGCCACGTCCACCCGTACTATGACCCGGCGGCGGCGAGGAGGAGGACCCCTTAGTATCGCTGTAATTTGTGAGAGGCACGGCAGCTCCACCAATAGAACCCGGCTCGTCCGTGAAGAGACCCGAGTCATCTTCCTCGTCGTCTCTACTGTTACTATCCACCGGTAGAAAAGGGTTCACTCTCGGCTTATGCTCTCCCGGCAGACTGTCTTTCCGGAAAGGGTTCATCACTACCGCGGAGGAAGGCGTTTCCTGCGACCGGGCGGTCCGCTCCTCCTCGTACCCCTCTTCTGCGTCGGCGAACAGGTGCTGGCTGGAGTTCAACAACTCAGTTTTGCTCGTGTCCAGCGGAGGAGGACTCGCAGGAGGCTCATGATGTGCGATATTGATGTTGCCATTCGTGATGTTCTCATTCTCTCCAGCTCCTGCAGACATTAGATCTTGAACTTGATCCTGCTGCTGTTGAAAATTCAACATGAGTGGTGCGACTGTCGTAATCTTGTCGATGTCGTCGAGTTTGATTTTCACCATCCGGATTGTCGCACCATCGACCTCCATTTCAAGGTCCTGCGGTTCTTTACTCCCATGATCTCCTGCTTGATGTTGATCCCAAAACGCTCGCACATTCGCCTCCATTTCCCGCAATTTTTGCTGTTTTTCTCCCTTTGACATGGTCGCGGGGAAAAAAGTGTCCGATACTTGCAAAATATTCGGCCCCGCGGCCTGGAGGTCGTGCTCATCTACAACTTGTCGGTCTTTGACGTCTTGTTGCGCGGCTGCAACTACATGTGGACGTCGAGCCGTGGTCGTGCTAGGTGTCGCCAGAAGTGGCTGGTGCTCTTCATCTTGCTGCAGCAAGTAAATGTCGTTGTCCTCGTCTTCATCATCATCAGGATCATGAAAATAATCATCCGTCACGAACCCGTACCGCGCCCCCCCAGCCCTTCTCTCCGCCATCCACAGCGTCAACAGACCCTGGATCGCAGCTTGGACGCCCGATAGAATATAGTCTGGACAGTCTTCCACCCTCGGAAGGGAGTATGGAAGCGTCAGGTTTGAAATCGTCAAAGTTGAAATAATCTGTAATGCTAAACCGACCGAAACCACTACACAACCTGTAAGGGCACCGAACCGCACGTGGTTCGGCCACCAGGTCGCGGAGTCAGGCGGACCGAAGCCATCACCATCATCCCCGGGCACATCCAACTACTTACGCTGCCTTTTCCTTACTTTCGCACACAGTCCTCACTTCGCCAACATGCGTTTAACGTTCGCCAACGGTCCATACTTCTCGCCAGCAGGTGCGTTTAACGTTCGCCAACGATCCAACTTTTTGCGCTAACAAACTGTGCAGGAGCCGACCAGACATACTGCTATAAGGAAGCAGCAGCCTGCAGCTGACCCCATGCGTACGAAAATGTTTTTCGGACCATTACGGACACGGCAGGCACAAAAGCAGCCTGCGATGCGGTTTAAAAAGTTCCGGTAAACACAGGCGGGACGACTAGGAACAGGCCCGGGTTGCTGCACCTTACGCCGCGTAGTCCAGCACCACCGAGGAGTACTTAGTCGCAGCAGATATAGGGCCCTGGCACCCGCGGAAAGCCGTGCGCAGTCGGTGGGGCTGGTGAGAAAAGAACTTGTCGTCTGATGAGAACATGATCCGCTGAAAAACCGGAGCCACGCCTGAAGCAGCTCGCATCTGTTGCGCGCCCCGCTTCGCGATTGCGAGCATGGTGGAGAGCAAGTCTCGATTGAGCTTGCTGCTGGTCTTCTGTCCGGCTCCATCCCTGCCTCCCCCAGCGCTGCCAAGCCTCAAGTACGCATCTATTGTGCGCCCCTACATCGCGATTGCGTGCTTCGGGGAACAGGGCTCGATTGAGCTTGCTGCTTCTTGTGGCCTGGGCGAGCTGGGGGCATCTTCGCGATAACATCCCACCGGGCGGGTTCTGCTGCTGCCATGTTTCTCGCCGTTCCGGCGCCGTTATCGCTCGGCGACTCCGCAGGACGGGCACATGGCGACTCCGCGAACTTGGAGAAGGTGCTGCCCATGCCCGTCAGGCTAAACGAGGACCTTGCTGTTGCGCAGGATAGTGTGTGGGCGACTGCTGCAGGATTTTGGCATTGTGTCCAGGTGGGGAGGAGGTCATTTTTAGATTTCGAGGGGTACTCGGCAGCATGGGGCCGCTGGGTCTGAGATCTAGGCAACTGTTGTAAAGGGAGGCCTGAGATCTAGGCTACTGTAAAGGGGGGCACAACGGACCCGCCACGCTCGGGTGTTTATCTACTACTTTCGATACTCCTCTTCAGGGAGTCGGGGGAGATACCGACGTGGTGTCAGTGGTGGTAAAATGATTGTGGATTATCAAACTTACTCTACGGCATAGCTCCCCCTATTCTAGATTTTTTGGATCTCAGGCAACAAGGCAAAGCCTTGAGCCAAAATGGCTACGGTGCGTAAAATGCATCTGTAATGCATAAAATGCATGACCCCAGGTGCGTGTGTTGCAGAGCAGGCAAGTGAGGCCGATTGTAAGCCTGTTTGGGGTTACAGCTCGAACTGCTAAAGTAGCATGAGAAAATCGCTCTTCGTTCTTTGCCTAAACAGCATGACAAACTGGATTTAGGGACCACCGAAATTTGTCATGCGCCACTTGGCAACTGGGTTTCAACTGGCATCCATTTTATGCATGACAAATTATTTCAACTTTGTCGATTTCAACTCTGACACATCCATAGGGAATGGACGAACCTGATCAGGTCCGGTCGGTGGCCGCAGAGTCTGCCTCCTTCTATGCAAGAAAAAAACTGTGTAAGTGTAACTCTGTAATGCAGAACATGCAACAGTAGAGTTACACCTGTTATGCCAGACAGCCATGGAGTCCTCTTTTCATGTGTGTTTTCCCTTACAAGCCACGTATGACAGGTTTTTTCAGTCATGTAGAGCAAATGTGTGATGCAGCTGTCAGCCGAAGATAGTTACACTAACACACTTTTTTTCTTGGATATCTTCATCTTCGGTGACACTGTTTATCGCAGCGTCAAGCAATTTTTCGATAATACCTCCCGATGAACTATTGTTTATTCCCGCCCCTGGGTATCAAATGTAAAAGTGTCTGGGTCTGGAAGAATGGAAGGCTTGTCATGCTTTTGCTTGTCTGGCATGACCCATGATGCTTGTAATGCATGACCCAGCATCACAGATTTTTGGAAAGCTTCCTGATGCCATTTCCGCATGACAAATGCCCTCCTCGCGTAGAACAAATGTGGCTCGTCTTGCTTGTCATGCAATACAGATTTTTTTAGAGTCCAAAGTTAGCATCACAAGTTCCAACTTTCCAGACCCAGACATTTTTACAGTTGATACTGGGAACTGCAGTTCTTGTGCTGCTTCTTCTCCACATCCGCGTGGTCCACCGTGACAGCCCCCTCTATCAGATGCAAAAATGTCTGGGTCTGGAAAAGTGTGTAAACTTGTCATGCAGGTTTTTCATGACCCATGAGGTCTGGAATGCGGGACCTAGCATGACAGAGTCTGTGAGGTCTGCTCTGCCATGCCTATCCTGCATGAGAAACTCCCTCCAAACTTGGTCGACGGTGGACAGCTTTTGGCGGTCATGCAACACAGATTTCTGCATGATTCGGATTTAGCATGACAAGTTGCAAGCTTCCAGACCCAGACATTTCTGCAATCCATACCCTCTGGTCTGCAGCAAGTGTGTCAGCAGCGCCGGTCGCTCGGCGAACACTCCGAGAATATAAATCGCGCCCTGACAGTATCAAAAGGAAAAATCCCCCCACCCCATATCAACAAGAAATTTCTGATGCTGGATTTCAGTACACAAATCTGATTTGTCTTGCAGTAGAGGACTGCAGGCACATGCCAAGCCTGAGCCGCGACGTTTTGGCGTAGGCTGCTAGCATGAAAAACGTCGATGGTGCAGGCCCAACAGCATCACAAACCGCATGCATAATGCGGCGGATTCTCTGGATTTGCCTGCATGCAAGACAGGCAGGATTTGTGGTCGCAAATCCGCATCACAGATTTTCAGAAGGATGCGCTTTCAATATGGGGAGGGGGGATTTTTCCTCACAATAGACAGTCGACAAACTTCTCCTCCAGCATCTCCTTGATCTGCTCCACGGTGACCAAAAATTTCTGGCTGTTTGCGTTCGCCTCCCGCAAGCTTGCCGGCGTGAACCGGTCGCGCAGCCAACTAATGTCGCTCGCGTTCAAAACCAGCTTCGGTTTTTCTAGGAGTTGTTTCCGCTGCTGCTCCTTCGAAAGAGCATTGAGCTTTGTACCATCGGATAAACAGAGCTTGTTTTCCTTCTTTTTATCCGACCGCTTCTTCCGCTTGATTTTGTTCTCGATTTCTTTCAGCATTTCCTTTGCGTTGAGGAAATTGTTCACGCGCAGCTCAATCAACCGATCGTCAAGATGAAGATTCTTTGCGTTGTTTCTGAGTGGAAGCAGTTTTGGCGCTGTCGGAATTGCGTTTGTGACAGACGCGTCGTCGTTGCTAGTATTTGACCTGGCACCAGTGACCGTCGTGGTCGTGCCTACGATTTCCAGCTGCTGCTCTTGTTCTTTTTTCCTCTTATGCTCCGCCAAAATTTCGTTTACCTCTGGGGGATAGTCTGGAAGGAGTCTGTCGACTTGTTTATCATATTGTCCTGCTTTATTCGCCAGGAGAAAGGACTTGCAGTACACCGCCGTGCTTTTCACAAGGAGGTTAAAATATTCCGGATCCTCGCAGATTGCGGCAACGCCTGCGATCTGATGTTGCTCCTGCGATATTAATGTCAAACCTTCCTGCTGCTGCTCGTCAATACCTCCACCTTCGGTGGCGCTTTTGATGTTCTTCCTTTGCGCAACATCAACATCTTCAGCTCCTCCCGAGGATGCTTGTTCAGCTTCTATCCCTGTGCGGGCGGTGGCTGCATCCGAAGAGGGCGCTTTCTTCGTGCCGGTTTCATCAACATCTGCTTCACTTTCCGTTTCCGTCAAATC